AATGCATTAAAAACACTCAGAATATCTCAGCAAATTTATAGCAAGGTGTTAAAAACACCCAGGACATAGCGAATATATAGTAAGGTACTAAAAACACTCAGAACACCTTAGCACTTATCAAATATAGCAACATGCTAAAAAAACTCTGAGCACCTAGCAAATGTTTATCAACCCCCTAAAACACCTCAGAACACCTTAGCAAATGCATAGCAATATGCTAAACTAGTAACACTATAGCAATGTGTTAAAAACACTAAGAACACCATAGCAAAACAATAATGATGTGCTAAAAACCACTCAGAACACCTTAGCAAATGTATTGCAACGCCTTGGTAACACCCACAACACTAGCATTGTGGTAGTGAGTTTTGCTTTGAATAAAAAAAATGTCTTTGTTTTCATTACATTGGCTGGTTCCTGTGATGAGAGACTGTATGTGTCCTCTGGGCAATGAAGAAACGGATCAATCTCACTGTCTCGTACAGAAATGAGCGGGTCTTTATCAATTACAGTAGCTCCATTAATGTGGAAGCTAATCTTTAACAACCACATTCAGTTTGGGAAGAAGAAACTCAAAACGAAGGCTGATGGATTGATTGTAGTTTCCTTTAAATGACCTCTTTATCTTTAATGTTATCTCTTAACGTACTGATATGGATTTAGCATGTTGCTTGTAGTTTGCTTGTTCATTTAGCATGTTGCTTGTAGTTTTATGTACCAATATCCCCGATATGCCTCATATGCAGCAAGATCATTTTGTATCTTTATGAATAACTGCCATTGAAATTAAAAATGTCGTCATTCAAATGTTATGCTGTGGAAAGCTATAACAATCATCGCCAATGAGAATTGATCTGTCCAGTTTGACCCATATAAAGCTGTTAACTGGCTTTTTTTTTGCTATGGGGAAACAAAGTTTATTGATTTTTCCACCAGAATTAAGTGTTATCGACCCTTTTAAAGCTTAATTAGTGCTTATGTTACTCTACTGAGTGAAAGGAAAAAGAAATCCCTCAGTATGTGCTAGGGAAGCATCTCATCTTGTGATTTGAATTTCTGGCACGGTAAAGCTTAATTATTTTCTTAGTGGGGAGCTGCATCAGTAGACTGATCCTATCTGACAATTACTGCAGCTGTGGGAGTTTTGATGTGCCAATATTTCTCTGTCTTTGTATTAACAGTAATCTCTTAGTACGGACCATCAGTCAGGCCAATTACCCGACTCAAACGCCTCCGCTGCAGGCTACTGACGTCTGTTGCCTTAAGATCAGTGCTTTTCAACACTTGAAGACCATTGGCTGCCCAAAGAACGAGATGTCTGCAAGGCCCGTTGCTATGCGTTTGTGAATGAATGTGACCCATTATAAGGTGACCAGATTTCTTGCAATTTACTTACTAGACTTACTCTTAAATGGAAACATTTCCTAGGTCAGTATGTAATTGAAATCTCACTTGGTATTATCTATGAAAATGGGGATAATGCATCCTGTTTTTGCTTTTTAATTGTGGGTTCCATAATTAATGGTTAGTATGATATTTGCGGGTCAAAATGACCCGGACTGTTTTAATACAATTCACTGTCCACACAGTATTAAATTGCAATAAAATTAACAAAATCACATTGCAAAATAAGGTAACACTTTATTTCGATAGTCCACTTTAGACATTCTACTAACTATAAGTAACTTTGCAGCTACATGTCAACTAAGTCTCATTAGAGATTAGCAGACTGTCTGCTTAATATCTTCTAACACTTTATTTTGTTGGTCCCCCAACAGATATTCTACTGACTATGAGTAACATTGCAACTACAAGTCAACTTATTCTCCTAACCCGAACCCTAACACCTAACCCTAACCTAACAGTCTATACAGCTGAGCCTACTAATACTTTAATGAGAGTTAGTTGACATGTAGTTGGAAAGTTACTTATAGTTAGTAGAATGTCTAAAGTGGACTATCGAAGTAAAGTGTAACTAAAAGAACATATAAATAAAACTATTTGACAAATATTTGACCATTTTCTAGGGGTGTAACAATATATTGTGTGACAATATATCTCAATACAAATTGCAACAAAATTATGTATCGTGGAGAGTTCATCCAAAATAAAAAATACTGTGAGAGGTAGAATTCAAGTTTTCAGAGTTTTAGTGTCAGTACTACATTAAACTACTATATATTATGTTGAATATTATGTATAATAATGCAATGGGGGAATATTTGTGTAAAAAGTGGCCTACATTATTTTAAATTTATCTAGTCAGTGACAGAGTGCAAGCATATTCGTGCAAGCATAACAGCTTCAGAATAATGAATATTTTTATTCTGGTGTCACTATTGTCCTGTGCATTGGGTTTCCAGCACCAAGTCCAAGCCTATTCATTGACACCCACAATGTAACACACAATGTATCCAATTTAGCATTTTAATCAACAGTACATTTTTTGTTAAACTTTTACCATATGTCTTGGAGTATCACAATAATATCGTATCATGAGTTCAGTGTCGTGTTATGTATCAAATCGTGACATGATGAGGGTATCGTTACACCCCTACCATTTTCTGAATATACTTTATACAGTAATAACTAAATTTTTCCAATGGTATTTAGTTTGTGCTTTCAGAGGGCATGCATTTGCAGGGTGTTTTTTTTAAGTAAAACGTGGACATTTCCAGAGACGATACACCAAAAAAAAACTGAAAAAGGGGACGTCTGGTTACCCTCGCCCATTAGCTTGAAAAAAATGTCTGATATGGAAGCATGCTAATGATATTCACACAAGGAACTAGAATCTTTAACTGCATCGTTTGAATTATTTAGTAGTTTATTTAGTATTTAGTAATTTAGAGTATAGGTATTACCAGTAAAAAATCATTCAAATTTTTGTGTTTTTGAAAGAAGTCTCTTATCGTCACCAAGGCTGAATTGATTTGATCAAAAATACAGTAAAAACTGGAATATGATTACATGTTAATGTATTTTGAAATGCTTTATTCCTGTGATGGCAAAGCTGAATTTTCAGCATCATTACTCCAGTCTTCATTGTCACATGATCCTTCAGAAATCATTCTGATATGCTGGTGCTCAATTATCAATTATTATCGATGTTCAAATATTAATAAGCCTTAACTTTACAGCGTTTTAAAAACACAATGCTCTTGCACAAAACGCAACGCATAAACGTCAGTCTATCAGGTTTACGCACAAAACTCCCCAAAACGCATTGTTTGAATAGACCCAATGAATAGTACAAAAATTCTTAGACCTGGAGCCTCATTTATAAAATTTTGCTTAAAAACCATCCTACATTTGATCTAACGATTCTTTTTCAAATGTGCGTATGTGTGATTCACAGAACGAACATACGCATGTTTTTTTTTTGCCTCGCTTAAAGATGTCAAATCTATCTCCCGATTACACAGACAAGGCTTAAAATAGTCCCAGACTAAAATTCACGTTTGATCTGTTTTATCTGAAAGCAACTTGCACTGACACATCTTAAAATATGTCAGATCCATAGTTTTGTCTCAAGATGCACACCAGTAATGTTTATTCTAAGGCACTTTTATAAAAGCTACTGAAATGTCTCAATTAAACTAAGGCCTAATCCTGGCTTAATCTAAACCCTGTCTGTGAAACCAGGCCTATAAATCGCAAATTATCTTGAAATTGTGCGCAGATGAATGGGCTTGTAAACGCGCCTAATTAAAGTCATTAAAATATAAAATAACATCAGTCAATGTCCAAATCCTTAACTAGCATTTACTATGACTTGTTTTCTGATTCACCACACCCACTCAACATGCAATAGATCTGTCATATTTTAAAATAACTCCTTGTATATGCAATTCACTTTTTTTGTGACACGGATTCATCACTTATGAAACACTGAAGTAGTAGTAGAAGTGTAAATATGAAGCATGGTCATTCACAAGCTTAGCAAAAGAGGAAAGATCTCCTTACTTCCTGTGATGCATTTTCTCTTGAGGCAAATTCATTTCGTAATCCCTTTCACATCTAAGAATAACAGGCATTTTGACTTAAATGGAACATCTGAGTCAAACAATTGAACCCCAAAGTCCCACCCATAGATATGCTGTATGATGGACAATATTGCTGCTGCCTAAAAGTGTAGTTTCCTTCTGTGAGCTTTTATTTGCAGTATGTCATGTTTCTTGCGCCTGTAGAAGTTATTATAGGGATGCACTCAGGAATTTACTTGCAACCACTAAAACCTTCGCTTTCTGTGCCAAGTTCCTTAGGAATTTCTGGCATTTGCTGATATTTTGCGGTTGCTGAGAGTCAAGCTTATGAAAAGACATGGCGGTTTTGACTAATACACAAAAACCAACAACAAATAATCTAAATCATTTTATTAATTTAAGTTAGGTAGAGACACTAAACATTGGAACCATGTTGTGCGCTCCTATATAGAGCACTCTTTAGGAAAGTTACAAAGAGTATTTATGTCATACTGTTAACAAATGGCAAAAATGAAGAGGTAGAGATTTTAGGCTCATCACATGCCTATTGGAATGTAGTTTAAACTCATGTGTTTTGTCATTTTTTTTGCCTAAACATACAAAATATCTGTGGAAACTCAATGGTTCAGGTTTGCATAAACAAAAAGGAAAAGCATTAAATTAACAAATGTGAAAATGCATCATATTCAGATGATGACAACATCCTCAGGTTACTCAATCCCATCTCAAATTCATTTTAGAAATTGCATAATGAATCAATTATTTAAACAAATTAAAGGTATGTAACCAAAACAGTATTTTTCAGTTGATGCACAAGTTCAAAATGGGCAACGTACTAAATATGATATTCAATGACAAGAAAATCAGGCCATCCCTTTAGATTGACATTTACATATACAAAATACCATATGCCTCTGTAGATTAAAGAGTAAAAAAATACACTTCCTTCCCACCACAGCTGGATCCAGCGTTTTACCCACTTCTCATGATGTCAACAAAAAGAAATGAGGGAGGGGGAATGCAAAATATTTTATCTATAACATCACATGGTTCATAACTGGGCCCTATCGGACACATGATCTCCTGCTGCTGCCTTTAAATGTATTGAATAGGGGGAACAGTGGCGTGGTGCCACATTGAACGGTGTAGATAATGTTGGCAGTGTAGAGGAAAGTAAATACAGTGCATGTCTACACACAAACAAAACAAAAAAAAGTGACAAGAATTTACTGTTCGTACAGTAACATACTGTATAGTTTCACAAAGACGCTAGATAATGCTGGTGACTACATTACGTAAATAGTTAATTACTGAATAGCTCATGTATGATTTCAAAACTATTGACACAGTATATAGATGGAACAAACTTTTAAAAAAGACAACACATAAATCAACAAATAAATCCTTAGTGTAGTACACAGCTTTCTTTGTTCCAGAGGAACAATATGGTAAACCTTTGCATCTGCCAAATGCAAGTGCACCAGTCTAAACGCAGTCTTTTCACTTCCTTCTGCCCTCTCAGTGGTCTTATCCTCATGCGGGTTAGAACCCTTGTGGGTTGGAAACGGCGCCCTCTAGATCCCATTCTTTGCCTCGTTGTTGTTCATCGCCTCTTTCCTCTGAGCAAGGAAGGGGTACATGCACTTATCTGCACCCAGGAACCGGTACATGCACACGATTGCTTCGAAGGGCAAAATGCTATGAAAAACACAAAAACAAATGGGAATGTGTTACTACTGACTGTGCCGACAATCTGGAAGAATTTCAAACTCCAGTTTTGAGACCACCCGTACCCACCTTTTCATAAAGTTGACCATGTATACAATGCGAGGCGTGCAGATCATGGGCTGGTCTGTCAGGATGGCCCTCATGGACTGTGTCACACAGAACTCTGGTCTCAATGGAGGGAGAAATGGCTCGATCTCTTTCCTGACCAACCCAGGCGGAAAAAAAGAAAGCAAACATGATGATTAAGAGTCGTCTTTGTTTAATAAAGTCAGCCCAAAGTGCTTAGCCAGTCAGAGCAAGTCATTATTGAGTGGAAACAGATCCAGCATGCACCTTATTCAAGTGGAAGCCCCTATTGTGCGCATGAAAACCCAAGCTGACAGTGACATGAGAGGCCACAAGCAAAGCTACCCTGACTGTTGTTAAGCAATGTCTACTCGAACTAGATACGCATTGTGTCGTTCGCTCCTTTAGTGTCCATCCGAAACCCAATCTTAACATTTGGACGGCTCCTTTCTTTTACCTTATTCTGCATCCTCTGAACATGCCCGTGTCCACCAGGTAAGGACACACCAACGTCATCTTGATACCGTCCTTCTCCGAAGCCTTGATTTCGTGGCTCAGGGACTCGTGGAAGCCGATGGCACCAAACTTGCTAGCGCAGTAATCCTGAAACCAAGAGGAAACAGAGTTCGGTGAACATTATCAAGCTTCCCGAGGCAGTTTTCCCTGTAATAGCATGGGAGCGCTGGGATCTACGGTTTCATTAGCATTCTTTTGTTGTGTATGGAGTATAGGTAGAGCCGCATGGGAGGGTTTTGATGTGGTTCGCGGTGGACGGGATCTTCAGAACAGAGTGGGCAAACACAGATGCGTGTAGATAAACACTCTGGAATAAAGGGGCTCACAGCGGATTGAGTCACTCCAATAATGCAAACCATAAAAAGTCACATTCAAGGAAACATAATAGGTCAGACAGTGTGATTGGGCTTCTGGGACCCTTTGAAGTGAGAGTAAATATGAGGGCTTGTAAAATAGGAGTGCACGTACAGCTAACAAAAAAAAAAGAAAAAAGTAATGTTTCCCCAAAAGGCTGCTGGGAAAAATGACACCAGTTTGGACAGCAGTGAAAGAAGAGGATTGTACATGTGCTAGACTCCGAACTCTAAGAGATCCCTCTTATACACAGGCTGGTTTAACAGATTAAAAGTGACTCTAATGCCACACCAGCACCAATGAGAGATATCATTTTGGAAAAGTGTTTAGCAATACTGTCTAGCAACATGTAAAGAGCTCACACTGAACCAATAGATGGCGACTTTTTTGTCGGATCAGTGCATTACCACTATTGCCTTCGGTCTATGCTTGTTTTCGCCGATTGAACATGTTCAGTCGACATTTGTTGGGTCTTGGAATGTCTAGTGACGGTGCAGTGTGAATTAAATATATACACGCACATATTAAATATTTTAACTGACATCTGTAATTCAGGGGCTGATATATTGTTTGTTTGTAAACTTTGTACTTTTTTTCAGGAAATTTGTCTTGGGCTCAAAGCTACATAAAATACATAATATCAATTGACTATTACTTCAAAAACACATTTTAAAAAGTACAGACATCTCCGTACCTACTGGAGTTAATGGAGTAAGTGCACAATATTCACAGTGTGTGTGAACCCCCAGTGGATCATGTGAATTTAGTCTCTGCAGCAGGTAAGGCCCAGAGAAACCTCTGAGAATCTCTCAGCGTTAGCATGCTCCTTAATTGGCGCGGAGTGCTAGGCGTGCTGTGCGCCGCGTTGAATTTCCATGCCACGGCGAGCCAACGTGCTGAGACTCTCCAAACACGCTCTCTTTTTATTTCTGTCTGCCAATAGATTTATGTGATGGATCCAATGTACTAACCTCCACACCAGCTGTGCTGAAAAGGCCCAGTGAACTGGCAACTGTCACAATGTGGCCATGGTTCATCTCTAGCATCTTGGGAAGAAATGCCTTGGTGGTCTGGAAGAGGAAGAGAGAGAGAAGAGAGGAGGGGGGAGGGAGAGACAAAGACAGTTATTTTGCTGTTGCTGTTCGTCTCTGCCAAAGCCCTTTGATCCGTTTTTTTTTTCCTCCTCCCTGACTAATAATTCACTGAGACTAAACACTCATCTCCCTCATCCTGCTGGGGGAGTTTAGAAACACAATTCCATTACAGTCTTAAAGGCCATTTACAGGGAGCTTGCTTTCCACATGCACTTAAGAGATTAATTTATGTACAGCTCAATTTGTTTTGGTAGTACTAGTTTTTGAGAAAGTTTTCATTTCCGACATGGAGGTTTAACTTGGATGGGAAGCAAACTACTTTAATGGATGAAGTATTGCACCAGACTTTGGTCTGGTTTCGTATTGGTCTGAAATGGCTTATTAAAAAGGTGAAAAGACCACTTGCAAGTTCACAACAAGTGGTTTGTCTGTGGTTTCCTTTTCTCACAACGAGTTGGTCCCAAGAGTGGCATCTCAGTATCAAGAGCACAAAGCCAGAGCGGCGTACTCACTCACCACTGTCACCACAATACGGCTCAAGACCACAACACCACCGCTGTAGGTCAACAAAGATGGGAAACAAACACCACCTTTTAGCCTGGATTACGCATTAGCATTGGAACGATTAAAGGAAGTCCACCCGATAAAAATTTAAAAGTTTTTTAACCACTGTCACAATCACAGAGTCAAGGAGTTGAACTGTAATCTTTTAGGTTTTGTAAACCATACTGAAAAGATCCTACTCAAAACAACAATTAATCCATAAAAAGTAAATTTCTTGTTTTTTAAGCTTGGTTTAAAATGTAGAAAAAGTTAGCTTGTACTAACTGAATACTTCTGGACTAGATTTGTTACTGTTTTTCAGCTTCTCTGACATCTTGCCTGGCTGTTATTGACAGTTTCTTTCATGCAATGAATCAATGTCATCTTCCACTTTCGCCGATCCCGGCTGGACAAAAGACAGAGTGAATAAAATAAAACCACACACACACACAATCGTGCCTCATCTTCCATTCTCTTCAGACCCAGAGGAAGTGAGGGGGTGGACACAATAATGATGAAAAACATGACCGGCGTCATCCATTTACTGCTCTCTTAGAAAGGATTTGCCGTACAAGCCTCACAGAACCGCCTGTGGCTTTATAGTCAATCCTCAATGGAACACGAAGCATGCTATGAAAAAGAAAAACGTGTGAGTGCCAAGAACAACAGAGCCCTTTCCAGAGGCCTTCAATGATATCACCATTTATAAACATGCCCAGTAGAAAAGGACCTTGGCCACGCTTGAGAATGGTACTATCTTGCACGGCTCTGTGGGCATTTCACACCTCTGCCAGCCGTCTCAACACCTCATCTTGACGTGTTGTTGAAATATGGAACTGGAATCTCTCAAATTTACTTCCACTGACTTCACTCTCATGAGGCAATCCACTCGTGCAATGGAGCGCTGCGGTCCACATGCTACGCATTTAATCCCTGACGTTAAGAGTAAACAGTGTATTTTTCCAGTGCATTAAATGTAAAATTGCTCTTAATATTCATCTCATTGTGTTGGGGGTTCCTTCAAGGGAGCAGACTTGGACCGGTTTGAATCTGTACTTGTGCCTTGCATGCCAAACTGATGGTAAGTATGCGTGCAAATGAAACATTAGGATAAATTGGGCCTGTAGAGCACAAATGCCAACATCCTCCAAACGCTGCAATCTACAGTATTAAAATGTGATTTGGACCATGTTCTGCTGCCAATAAGACAGATTAGACAAGCATGATACGAGACAGAAAGTCAAGATTCAGGCAATCGAAAGTCTCTCTTGCATCTAATGGGGAAATACATTAAATTACTCTTGCTGCAGAACTTGAAGCCATTACAACTTGCACACTGGAATAAAAGCTATGTTTGGAAATGTGATGTGGAGAAAGAGAGACAAACGTTCATTAACATGGGAGAGCGTTTCATGGAGTCGTTGGATAAGGACAACATATAAGTTAATTCAATCTACATTTATTTTGTCTTATTAAACACTTGATCAAAAACTTACTGTAGATGGACCACCTTGGATCCCAACAATTAGGCAGTTCAAGGGTGGAATCTACCAAACCAGCAACATTACAACCTCATTGATCAATCAAACTCAATGTTACATGTAGCTGGGCTGGTAATGTTGGGTTTGATTTTGGTCAAGTAAATAGGCTGGTAAATCAACCCAATGTTACCAAACTCAACATTAGTCAAGGAACTGGACTGGCAAAGTAACTGTGCTGGTAATTTTGAGTTTGATTGGCTAAGAAACTAGGCTGGTAATGTTGGGTTTGATTTGGTCAAACAACTGGGTTGGTATTGTAATCAACCCAATGATTTGATCAAATAGCTAGGCTTGGCCAAATCAAACCGAACATTACCAGCTCACCCCCTTGACCATTAGTCCATCACCCCATAACCCCTGAACTTGCACAAATGAGCAAAAATGGCTTAGAGTCTTTGTAAAAACTCAATCCGCTATGGAATGAGGGGGCCGGCACTGATGTGGGCATGGCCTTGCTGACCTCTCAGACACAAAATGTGTGAAACCGAACAGAAGTTCATGTCTTAATTCATAGCTTCCGTAATTGCTTCTCAGCGCCTGAGTTTACGCTAAATTAACTTCCAACAGCAGAGAGCTTCCTTGGCCCTTGCAGTGGTTCTATGCCTGTTGTGCTCTCTAATTGATACAAGCGCAAGTGCATCGCTCATCACAAAGCTCTTCACAGCTGCCGTGTCAGCCTGGATTAGTGCTTATGTTTGACCAATAGGAATATGCACAAATATTGTCACACATAATAGCCCAGATGGCCGTTAATTAGAAGAAAGTGGACCGACCAGAGAAATGTAGCATAGCATTGGCCAGATTGATGTATAGCCCTCAGAAAATGAAGCGGGGGCTAACTCATACGCTGCTACTGTATCGCTAATGTCTCATTAAAATGGGGGGTCCGGATCTATGGAATCAGTTTGAAAACCACAATATGGAGCGGTTTAACCTTATTTAAATAAGCCAAATAAAGCCATAGGTGAATCTTGTTGGCTGGGAGCTCTTTAAATATAAGCAGCCCCAAATCAAATAACAGGTACAGGTGCATTGATCTTGAGCAAGACCATCTAAAACTACTCAAGTAAGACCCTTCTGCCTGGCTGCACCCTTTCTCCTGGTCTAGCAGGAATGCAGGCTGGAGAACTTGGCTCCTGTCGGTTGGCATCTTGTCAAGCTGATCCCTAGACAAGAAAGCAATTGTCATATAAGTGGGTCAGGCAGCAGCTCCCCATTACCAGCAAGCTTGTGTACAAGACTCTCTATCCCTTGATGCTTTTCTCTAGGGACAGCCCTGAGTCTTTTGCTTCAACCACGCTCACTTAGCAACTAGGAGGCTTTCACGGACACCATTGCGCCCAGGTGTGGAATGCACTGCTCACATATCGCCTATTATTGGGTCAACGTCAGAGAGGAAAAAGAGAAGCTTCCTCCGATCAGCTCTCCAAATCTGACTAGACACTAAATCTGATCATTTGCATCACTTAAACTTTTACTTCGCCAAGTACCAGTCAGTCTGCCACAGTGCCACTCCTACCGGCTATTCTCAAGTCGGTCTGAAGAGAACTCACTGGTCCTGGGACTCAAACACAGCTGTAAGTACGGAAAGAGTGAAGGGCCCACAGACAGCCTGGAAGAGATAATGGCCACACTTCCTGTTGGCTCCACCAGTTTTGTTACATTCCCACCATGCTATCCAACAAAATAAAGATGATGTCCATCTGGAGTTTGCCCTTCCCGCCTGAAGAGTTTCGAAACACAGCAGACCGTTGAAATGAAGGCGCTGAACCGACTGCCAAGTCATGTTTAAGACTCTTTAAGAGGATGACATGGACCTGTTGTGAAGACAGGCTTAACTTCACTATGACCAGAAGAAAGGATTTATATAAAAGTAAAAAGATATGGAAGGCAGTGGCTACAACTCTCTGAAAAATGCTTAACGGATCAAACAAATATCTGAAATGCATTCAAGCAAAAAAACTAAACAAATGCAACAGCGTTTGCGATTTATTCTCTGTCCAGTATGGACAAAGAAATGGACACACCTGGAAGCCATATTAGCACATTATGGACAGCTTAAAGACCCCATGAAATGGCTTGACCAGAGTTTTCTTGTCCATGTTGACGCATTTCCGATTAAAATACATTGGGCTGGACATATCAATTAGGTGTTACTGGGGAGAAAGATTATATTTTAATTATGAAAATTTCAATATTAAAGTTAGTTATTTTCCATCATTTACTTTTTTTTTTAGCAGTGATGGAAAAATCTGAATGCTGTCTGTCATTTTGACAGATTACACTGATGGTGATATTCCCACCCATGTCTTGTTGGTGACGAGCGTGCATACAATTGCAAAGATGTCACGGCAGCAGAGTGTGAAAAGTTTCTTCACACGGCCAAATAGTTATGATGTCGTTAATAAAAGAGGTGACAAAAGAGGGACTGATGCGGTGGAGGATGAAGGACAAACAGACAACATTTATCATTTTTTCAGGCGACCACAAATGGATAGTTCACCCAAAAATGGAAATTCTTTCATCTCACCCTCAAGTTGTTCCAAACTTGTATGAATTTATTTCGTCTGCTGAACACAAAAGATGATATTTTGAAGAATATGGTTAGTCAAACAGTCGACGGTAGCTCAATTGACTTCCATAGTATTTTTTTTTACATACTATGGAAGTCAATGAAACCATCAATGGTTTGGTTACTGACATTCTTCAAAATATATTATTTTGTGTTCAACAGAAGAAATAAATTCATACAGGTTTGGAATAACTTGAGGGTGAGTATCTAAGTAAATGACAATTTTCATTTTTGGGTGAACTATCCCCTCAAGTCCATGTGGACCGGGAGGAAGGTTTGAGTTCAGGCAGATACAAAAAGTTGATTGAGTTTAGTTCAGTTCATTTGTAATGTAATGTTTTGTTCATATTTTAATAGTAATTGTATTTTGTAATATTGCATTGTTCATATTTGCCAGCACAAAGGTGGTGTTTTAGTGGCCTCCACTGTCACTGTGGGGAAAAAACAGTGGGACCCTGTCCGTCAAAGTTACGGACAATGAGAAAGTATAACGTAACTACTGAAATGTAAAAACGGTTTATCCCAGACGTATAAATTTAAGTGTCAGCGCTAGGTATCACATTAAGCATACATATTTAAAACATCCTCCTTTCTGTACAAAAAATGGCAACACAAAATGAATTGAAAATAGGGAGACAAAAGAGAAGGGGGAAAAAAAGTCTTGCAATGTTACAAACCACATGCAAGCAGCAACCAATTAAGAGAACATGTTTGTGTGAAAGAGAAAGAGGAAAAGCAGTGTTGGTGCATTTCTATTCAGCTGGCTTGTGGCTTTAATGACCACATCCTCCACTTGGTATTCCTTGGCTGTCCTTAATGATTAAGCTCTGCTTTCATCTTAAACCCCCACAAGAAACCATGCATTGCATAAAGCTTAAGCAAACAACCAAAAACCTTAATGAGAATCCCAACTCTACCACTAACAAGTGCATATGCTACAGCACCACTGCGGCTTACACTGAACAACTTCCAAGTAAAAAAAAGAGAAAAGAATAGAAAAATATAGATGGCAAACAACATGCTGTTACACTTAAGCTCAGTTTGTGTCCAGGCATTTTCATGCTTCATTAAAGGACATCAGTGTTTAGGATGTGCTCATTCACATTTGCCAATTTAAGAAAATTCTTCCCTTCTAAAACGAAGCGTGATATTGTAATGTGACATCTTAACACCCCAAGGCCATCAAAAAACATTTAGTCAGTGTAAAAAGCCCATCAATATTTATTAATATATTTGTTTTCCAGGGGGTCTGGGGTGATGTAAACCCTCACTTCTCTAAAAAAATAAATAAAGGGATAGTTCACCCAAATTATTATCATTTTTTTCAAAATTTACTCACCATCAAGTTCTTTCAAATCTGTATGAATTTCCTTATTCGACTGAACACAAAAGCAGCTGTTTTGAAGAATATGGGTAACCAAACAGTTTTTCCATACTATGGAAGTCAATGGGGTCCATCAACTGTTTGGTTACCCATATTCTTCAAAATATCTTCTTTTATGTTCAGCTTGAGGGTGAGTAAATTATCATTTTTATTTTTGGGTGAACTATCCCTTTAACCGCCCTGCCGTGCTTATCATTAAAATATTAATTTCCCCAACAGTCACATGCAAAAAAAAATAAAAAAAAAATAAAAAAAATTCACAATTCTCCACAATGTGACTTTAGCAGCATGATTTAAAACAAACTGCCCTACTACAGCTCGCCCCACAAGGTGGTCTCAATAAAACAATGCAAACTACAGACAGGCCTTTTACGCATTTACTGGCAAGAGGTTAATTAGCGAGGCCAAGTGAGAATGGACTCGTCCAAATGGTACTTCCCCAGGCAGGATGTGCTCTTCAATGGGCTTTAAATTAACAAACCAAGGGAGAGCAGATTGTTCCTGGTGATCTTACTAAAACCCCCTGCTGGAGTTGTCTTGCTCAGAGCTTGTTTATATCCACAGATCAGGGAGCTTTGGAGGGGACAATGTTCAAACGACAGGGGGCATGTTAATAAAACCTCTCCGAGTGGAAGTATGGTTTTAAGATCAGTTCTGATGTTATAACTCACAGGGACTGAAATTGATGAAGTCAGGGAGGGTAATCTGATCCTAGATCAGCTCCCATACTGATATTCTTCCTGAACGCGTGCCAGATCCACATAATCTCACAGCCTGTGGATGTCTACTTTAGCAGTACATCCAGACTGAGCCGTAAATATTAATATTGGCTGCCACAAACAAAGGAATGAATGGAAACAAATGGATGACAGACTAAGGCCCCATCCACACTACTGCGTTTTAGTTTAGAAACGGAGAATTAAAACGAATACGATCTCCGTCCACACCAGCGTTTTAGCTGCGTATTTGAATTGATCTCCGTCCACATTAAAACGACTGAAAACGCGGATCACGTGACCATTCACCAACACTGGGCATGCGCGTGCCGGTGTAAACACAACTTCATTGATAAAATTATCCCACCATGCTCTGGGTTAACCCCAAACCGACGCTCATGTACGGTCAACGGCGCCGCTGCACACGGGAATTGTCACAGATCGCTGGAATAATAGCTTGACTCCGGCGCATGTCGGCAGTTATAGCGTTGTAAAATGCAGAATTTACTTGTACAACAGCTGCTAGCAAAGATATACGGCATGACTGATGACACCCAATCATAGAGCCGAGCGTGAGCCTCTTATATGTCAACGTTTCTAAAGTCCTCCGTTTTGACCCGTCTACACTAAAACGCCCTCCGGAGATTCAAAACGAAAAACGGATCGGCAGCGTTTCTAAACTTCTCCGTTTTGGCTCTCCGTTTTTGCCGTTTTAGTGTGGACGGGAGGTGCAAACGTAGCAAAAGGTCTCCGTTTTTAAACGAAAACGCAGTAGTGTGGACGGGGCCTAAAAGAGAAAGGGCCAGACAGGACAGGGGTGATTACATGAGGAATATGCTAAAATTATTGGAGTGTTTTAAGGGGGGTGGCCCATCTCAGATGACAGACATTTGTTTGCACTCAACACCAGACGGATTAAACGACTGAGCTTCTAAGTGGTTGATGTAACTGATTTTGAAAGAATAAACAGTGCTTTTTTAGCATACAAGTCAAAATTTCAAACTTATTATGAACGTGCATGATGCAAGCAAAAGATGTTTGCTTTCCAACTTGGCTCAAGCTCAAATACCAGAACAGAGAAATGAGTATGTGCTGAACAGATGGGTGCATGAACAGTGTCATCATGTGATATACCAATATCACTAAAAGAGGACATTCCTCTGTTTTCCCCACTTAAAAAGAGCTATACGGTTGATGCACATTGACTTTTAAATGTCTGGTTACACTGTTAGATCAGCTATTGGATATTGCAGTAGCCTATACAGTTGAGCAGTGGCAAAGTAAAACTAGACTCACCCAGAAGTGTGCATGGCAGTTCACCACCATGGTCCTCTCGATCAGCTCATCGGGGCATTCCAGCAGGTGGTGGCCGGACACAACACCAGCGTTGTTGATCAACAAGTTCACTTCACCGACCTCCCTGCGCACTTTCTCTGCTGTGGAGTACACGTTCTCCCTCTTGCCCACATCAACCACGTACGTATACACCTGCGGCTGAAACGGAGGGACCTCTTCCACACCATCGACAGCTCCTTAGGAGAAACGCATTAGATCATCATCATCATCAGAGATGTAAAAAACCGCAACTTTCTCAAGCTTCATTTGATTGCAACAATTTCATTGATTCAGAGTCTGATAGCATTTGGGGGACAATATTCACCAAGTAGCTATTTTTAATGATTATTTAACCAAGATAATTGCATTGATGGGTAAGACTACAGCCTAATTTTTAGAGATAGACCGATAACTGGTTGTTTAATATCAGGCACCAACTGGTGGGTCTCTAATGAATATCACACAAAAACACCATTGCACCACTGTGTTCAACAGAAGACAATGGTGTTCATAGGTAAACATTAAACAAACTTATTTGATTAGATTGTTTGCATAATTACACAACGTTTAGAGCCATTCATTCATGTAGCATTTTAATATTAACAATAAAAAAAAGTTTTTAAAAAATTGATAACCCAGAATACAACAACTTAAAGGAATAGTTCACCCAAAAATGACAATTATGTCATCGTTTACTCCCCCTCCAGTTACTCTAAACCTGTATGAGTTTCTTTCTTCTGATGAACACACAAGAAGATATTTTAAAGAGTGTTGGTAACTAAACAGTTGACGGTAGCCATTGACTGCCATAGCAGGAAAAAAAAATTACCACAGAAGTCAATGACTGTCTGGTTACCAACATTCTTCAAAATATCTTCTTTTGTGTTCAGCAGAAGAAAGAAATTCATACATGTTTAGAACAATTTGAGGGTGAGTACATAATTAAAATTGTGTGAACTATCCCTTTAATGTCAATAATAAAAAAAATAAATGAAAACATTTTTATACTTTAATATATAATAAATATGAAATATAATTTATATTAGAATAACGTTACTCAATATAGAAAATTCTTACATATGTTTGTAGTAGTCATATGATGATTTTTTAGCTATTATGCCAATACGAAGACATAAACCTTACAGGCTGCCTGGGATACTTATACTAATTAGATAAACATAAAATGTTAAATCCTCCAATTTACCCTCTTTGGACATCGGGTTGTCTTCCTCTCTGTAGATCTGTCGCACCATCTCCGCAGTCTCCTCATTGCTGTGGCTGTTGATGTCCCACAGCACCAGTGTAGCCCGGCGCCGGGCGAACTCCTTCGCGAAGAGCCGCCCAAGTTCGCCGCCCGCCCCGGTGATCAAGCACACCTGTCCCGCTACGCTCTTCTCCTTCGGCCGTATGAGCCACTTGAGTCCGGCCATCACGATGGCCCAGAGAACTTTCAGAATGACCACGAAAAACTCCACGACAATGTTCATCATCATGTCTAATGCCGTTAGGACTTTGTTTTAAATAAAAATTAACGTAATTACACCTAAAAGACTAAACAACCTGAGTTTTGCTGTTGTGCTGCTACCATTAGCACTTAATGTATTCTTTAACCATCCGCCTATTTAAAAAGGCAACGGGGTGAACATCCAATTAACCCCAACTGTCAAACAACTACTAATATACATATATAAAATAATATAAGATAACGCATTAAAACGTCAGAATATAAGCATCACACATAAAAGCACAATTTTAAAGCTTCAAGTGTGGATAAATAGAGCCGAGTCTCCCGCCAGCGAATGCCCGTAAGAAAGCTATCGTATCCCGGCACGGATGCGCGCGACGGCTGCCAGTGAGAGAAACTGAGACAGACTCCAGGCTGATCTCTTCAGTTCAGAACCGCTGATGCTCCTCGCGCTCTATTTAAACCAGCCCCTCTCCACAGGACCCCACAGAGTGATTGGCCCAGATGCCTGATTAAAATTTGCATCTACTTAGGTCAGCTCAGCTGTCGACGTTTGGGAAACAGAATGGATGTGTAATAACAGTGTCTGACGGTGGTTGTATTTTCAATGCGTATAGACGGATGTTTTAATTCATATATTTAATGCATATTAATGGATATTGTGCGATTTGTGTGTTTTTTACTTGGAGCAAGTACAAGTAAAATGTATCAAATATGCAAAAATACAGCAACAGGTGTATATTTGTGACAATGAAATGTGTTATGAGCCCACCTTCACTGAAAAGATAGTTCTTAAAAGAGTAGGCCACAACTTTACAATAAGTTTCCATTATATAACATTGGTTAATGCATTAGCTAACATTAAAGGGATAGTTCACCCAAAAATGACTGGTTATCACTGTCTGGTTATCAACATTCTTTAAAACAGGTTTGGAACAACATGAGGGCAAATGATGACAACATATTTGGGTAAACTATCCTTTTTTAGCTAACAATGAGTGATACATTTGTTTCAGTATTTATTTAAACAGTCAGTCACTGGATGGCTTTAAGAATGGATCTGGACTTTCTAAGACATCTATAGATGCTGGGTAGCCAGGGGCGGATCTACCGGGGTGGCATAGGGTGGCAAATGCCACCCTAAAAGAAAGCCTTGCCACCCCTGCTGCCACCCCAGTTGGCAGCAACGAATTAAAAGTTATGGCCAATTTGACAATTTACGAACGCGAATCTCCAATGTCCGACTGCAGTGAATTCGCTCCGTGCATAATATGACGACCGTTGACGTTCGTACTTTATTGTGTGGGCAAATACTTCCGGCGAAAACGTCCGCGGTGATCTGACCGCGAGAGCGGGAGACAGCGAGAGCAAGAGACAACAGCGACCGAGTTCCATTACCAGAGAGATAAGTTTTCAACCCGACCAAATTTTTAAATGCATATCATTTTCAGTGTATTTCACCTGTGCGTTTCTATGCTTTATATTACTGCATTTATTTTGTGCAAGTGAGATGAGTAAAGAACATCAGTTTCATATATCATTATCTGTCTGGTGTTTATAAGCAGTAGCCTACAGTATTTTACTACGTGTAAAATATACACAAACTTAGCTATATTAAGTTGTTTGTGTACAGTTAAAAATATAAATGTAAAATATGTGATAATAATATTGATCGAGCAATTGATGTAAGTAAGTAAAAATACATGCGCAGAATTAAGAAAATATTATTTAATATTTATGGAGATAAATTTTAGCCTATCATAAAGAAAACGTGTGAATGTTCACAGGGTATTTTATTTAACAACTCTAATCGTAGTTGTAACTCTATATTTACAGTAGGCATAATTGTCATTGCGTATGTATGCAGCATGAGTCCAATACAATCTTCTGTTCGTGAACAGTTGTTTTTCATTCATTAATCTGACTAACGTTATGCATCCGTGCATTTAATTGCCATTGGCTCGTGTGATAGTAATATGGATCTTAGAAGTATTTAAATGATATAATTGATTCTATAAATTATATATAAAAAAGGGAAAAAGGTCGGCACACCTTGGCTCCAAAAGTTAAACGCACCCCTGCCTTTATACTCACACAGCACAGGGCTGGACTGGCCATAATATTATAACTATTATTATATAGTAGTGTAATGTAGACAGACACTATCACAACTAAAAAGAGTTTTGAGTTTTTCTTTGTTCAATTTGCACACTGCATATGGGTTGGAGCTCTTTATTTTGAACTCTCAAAGTGCACCAGATTGATGAATTTAACATTAAAAAGCACAAAATTTTCTTACGGGGGAGCATGCCCCCGAACCCCCCTAGAGGGACAGAGGTGCACTCTGCACTCACCACAGATTTACCAAAATCCTATGGGAAAAAACGGTATTGCTATCCCAATGCAGCTTATAGCTTGTTTTAGGATTCATCACTGTGGAGTATAGTTCAACTTAGTAGTTATTTCATCTATTAACTCTAACTCAGTGGTTTTTATAGGAGTTGGTATACATTCGGTTGTGTTTATGATTATATGTAGTGGGCCAGTCTGGGCCAAAATGCCCGGGCCGATTTTTTGTCCCAGTCCAGCCCTGTACTCACAAATTAAATTAAGTACATATACGTCTGCCATGTTGCCACCCCTCAAAAATTCCTGCCCCCCTCTTGCCACCCCATAAATATTTTTCTAGATCCGCCCCTGTGGGTAGCTCATGTCTTCACTGCCCTCTACAGTTCTTTGCATTCAGAATTAGCAGTTTCTGTAGCAGCCAGAAGGAACACTTTCAATGGCGCATCTGTAAGTTTGTGTAGCCTAAGTCAGAGTAAGGCCAAACTAAGGCTTTCTATAGTTTGATGTGCTCTCTAGAGTCTAGACCACATGCATGGTGATACCAGCCTAGAGAAACATCCAGAAACTTACAACTGCTCAACAGCAGTTCAATTGATGTGAATGGATGTGTGCTCACTGTGGTCCCTCGTTCACTATCTTCTTCTTGGTCTTGCTAATGTTCTGGGAGAAGTTATTTTCTTGGCACATAAGTGCTAGTGCTTCAACCTCACTTGAATCATTCCATATTTTTCAAAACTACCAGAAAGAGAACAAACACAAGTGTTGCTGGGGGAGGACACTCATCAGTCTCATAGTCTAGGGGAACGAACAGTAGCCTATTATTATATGTAAAGGCTTCTCTGTGACTTTTTATATAATCATTGCATCTGTGACAAATGAATTATGCACCCAAACAGCCGACCAGCTGACACAGGTTTTAACCCATGAACAATGTAAATTAATCAATGAAGCATTTGCACTTCAGTGTACCAAAATTAATCTTATTTGCAAGTAATTGGAACCCTCTGTACTTTTTAGGTGTAAATGGATGTGTCATCCATAATTAAACTCTATATTTCCAGATTCAGTTTTGGACAGCTATCTTTAAAAGATTACAAATATAAACAGATTACTTTTAGGCTAATTGATCTTTTTATGCACGTTTTAATTCCCAATTAATGGGATCAGTCATCCTTAAACTTGCCATATCTATTAGTGTGCTATTAGCTAATGCCTTTAATATCTTAGTTTTCAGCCACATGTTATATGAATAGCTAATGAATGAACCGTAGCACATCTGTTCCTTCTTCCAAGACATGAAGGGAACTGTCTGGTGCATTTCAACAAAAATGCCTTTACAAAGCCGCCACCTGTTGGACTGGCACTGTAATTACACATGTATTTTGGGGAGGCGTTTCGATATAGAAGTGCTGGTTAAATTCGAATTTTAAACATTCACAACATTAGTTTTATTTTCAATACAGTAATAAATATAAGTTCATAAAATAAAATAAAATAAAATGCTGTTTTCAGCATTTTTACATTCACACATAAATCCAAGCTATTTGTTCTATTGTTCATACACATGCAAACTAATTCAAACCAACCATGTGGTTTATTTATACACGTGTGCGATTATTTGTAAAATCGAATAACATTTTGAGTTTACCTTGTCACTAAATTCTTGTGTCACGTGGTTTTGGTAGTAGTAACTGTGGCAACGTCGACGCAATGGACTATCCGTTTCCTTTTTCCTTTTCTTTTTTTTTTTCTTTTTTACTTTCATTGACCGATAGGCCCATATTATTGAAATAATGGCCGTAATTATTAGTGTAAACCTACTTAAATTGACTAAAATAACGTTATAGTCTGTCTGACATCCAAAAGTGGAGATGAAGCCTAGCCTCGTTAGACCCAAACTGATATCACTGCCAACTGAATCTCGTCTGATAATAAAGGACATTACAGACGCGCGACCCAGGTGTTCTTCCAACTACATCTCCAGTCCTCCAGTTTCTGGATGCTACACGTCTGCGGAATCCAGGATGAATGTTTTCTCGGCGAGGGAGAAATATCCATGCAGTCCGAGCTGTGAGTCATTTACAGGCTACTGTCTGAATGCAGTCATGATGAGATGCTCTTCAACAATATTCAGTAATATTCTCTTGATGTATTTATAACGTTTAATGCTGAAAAGTCTGCAGATAATGAACTGTATCTGGTGTTTTATTAACATGTACATTTAATGTTTAATATGAAATTGTAGATTCCAGGGATCTTGAGCCTCACAGCTCTATTACTGATGGGTGAGTAGGCTACACTAACAAAACCATATGATTTTAGGATATGCTGATAATGTTGTTATTGTTTTTGTGTGCGTTCTTTGAATCATCGTAAATTAAAGGGACAGGTCACCCAAAAATGAAAATTTTGTCATCATTTACTCACTCTTAAGTTGTTCCGAACCAGTATGAGTTTCTTTCTTCTGTTGAACACAAAAGGCCTATTTTGAAGAATGTCGGTAACCAGACAGTTGACGGTAGCCATTGACTTTCATAGTATTTTCCCCCCTATGTATGGAAGTCAATGTTTGGTTACCAGCATTCTTCAAAATATATTATTTTGTGTTCATCAGAGGAAAGAAACTCATACCGGTTTGGAACAACTTGAGGGTGAGTAAATGATGACAGAATTTTCATATTGTATTTCATATCTCTTTAAAATGGCAATCATTCTGTCATTTTTTGTCAGGTTTTTACCTCATATGAAACTTCCAGAGATGCAAATATCGAGATGGTTTGGGGTCAAACCAAACACTTAATAATGGCAGAATGAATTAAACCAAATTCTACTTTCTTTTTAGGTCTCTTCTTCCATTGTTAGCCAAAGACCGTGAAAGTAATATTTCTGGACGTCATTTATTATTTGATAAACGATGGAGAAATGGAACGTGCGTCACTAATGATATAAGAGGTATCCCTCTTTGCTCTTTCCATTCATAATATATGAATCATGCTGAAGAGACACTTAATGTATCATTATTGTTAGTGTACAAATTGGAAAAATGTCAAGAGAAACTGTCTTAGTAGCCTACTATGTGTATTATTCAGATTGATGATACTGTCTGTCACATCATTATTTGATGAGATGGAACAAATGTGTAATTGGTAGTTTCAGTGGGGTAACCAGTAGATGGCGCTCACAACATTCACATTAATATTTTGTTTGCAGCTGTTACATTTTTAGTCTGTATTGGCATAAAACAGTCTCTATAGATCTAAGTAAATCTGGGCAGGAAATGCTTTTGCAATTATTTTAGATAAAAGTGGTTAAATTGCCACTTTCTCAGGAAACTTTAAAGGTTTGTAACATCAAAATGTTTCTTTTTCCAAGCAGACAGAGTTCTGATTAACCACAACCCCACAAGTCCACTTTCTCAGGAGTTCCATGTTTATCATTCTCACAATTTAACCAAATTTGCCCACCGCAAAGAACTTTCCCCGCGCGACCCAAGACCACATATTTGCGGGTGAGTTCTTCAAGACTGCTAAAATACTGCCATATTATGATTTTCTTCATTTACTAATATTCTTTGCATCAATTCCAGGTCTGATTATCTGACCTCATTTCCATCTGTTCTGTTACCAGCCACCACTCCATCTGTCAGTGGAAGACTCTGTTTATCTCAAAACTATAAAAACAGGTAATACCATTTAATAATAAGGTAAATAACATTTATTCTTTGTATCTGGCTATGCATATGTGTACTGTTTATTGTATATTTCACTCTCTCTTGTCTTATTCCTTGCATTTTTTTTTCAGGCCAAGGGTAACAAACAGAGTCCGCAGTCTCTTCCCTGTTGGTGCTAACAACAAAAGTGAGCATTTCATCTTTAACAAGTTAGCAGTGATTAACTGATTTATTGTAATTTACCATGTGATAACTATGGAATAAAACACAATGGAATAAAAACATGAATAAAACATAAAACAGGTAATTGCAACTTTTCATCTCTCACAATTCTGACTTTATAACTTGCAATTGAGAAAAAAAGTTAGAATTGTGAGATATAAACTCACAGTTGCAAGTTATAAAGTCTGAATTCTGAAAAAAAAAATAACATAAAGTCATATAGATATAAATTTGTAGTCCAAATTGCAACTCACAATTCTGAGTAAGAAAAAAAAGTCAGAATTGTGAGATAAAAAGTTTTTATTTTTATTCTGTGGCGGAAACAAGTTTCCATAGATAACACTTCTAAGTAGACTATTGTTTTAAGTTTATTTATGTCAGTTGGTGCTGGTAAACTTAGCACATCGTATGTGTTATTTAGATGTTTTCTCAGGTGAGATCTCTCGCTTCACTCCTGTTACAGATTCACTGATGAATATCACATGTGCACGTGTTTTCATGAGCTCACAAACATTACTTAACAGTAACACTCAAGTACACACACACCTCTCGTCCTCCTTGCCAGACACTAGGCCATTATTGAAATCCCCAGTCTTTTGTATGAGGTGAGGAGAGTGTTACCTGTGTAAACCTGAATAAGCAAACTGTGCTTTTGTCTAACCAGCCTGTGGGCCGGTAATTGTTTTTCAGGCCAGTCGTACCCTGATCCACACTTGGGTGCCTCAGCGTCTTTTGTTCAGAGGCTCACTGAGATTTCCTGTCTGGAAGCAGAAACAGTCCGGCAGGAGAAAATGAAGAGACTCAGAAAGATCAATAGGCAGGACTCTTAATAGGAGTTCATTAGCCAAAGAGGAAACACATGACGCCTGAAATCACAACTGTGCCAAAGACTGAGCAAATAAAGTCATGGGGAAAAAAACTGAGAGGTACCGAGTGCAGACACTTTATTATAACTGATCACAATACTTTATTATAGCTATGAATGTAAAAAGTCTACACACCCCTGTTAAAACAGCTGGTTTTTGTGATGTACAAATTGAAACAAAGATAAATCATTCCAGAACTTTTGCACCTTGCATGTAAAAACGACAACCTATGCAATACCACTGAAAACCAAAGTGACATATTTCAGAGAAAAATTACTAATCTAAAAACTTAAAAGAACCTACAGTAACTGCATAAGTGTGCACACCCTTTTAAAACTGGGTATGTGGCTGTGTTCAAAATGGACAAATCCTCTCCCGTGACCTCATGGGATAGTAAAGTGTCCATCGAATGTGCAGTTCGGAAGTAGTATGTCACCCAAAGACTTTTCTCCTACTGTTTTTTCGGACATACTACTCGGCTAACATACTGTATAGTATGGAAGTAGGCATATTCGGATGCAGCATCAAATAGTACATGCACAAACAGAGGAAGAAGCGAAAGAGGAGAATATGGACGTGGTTATGCCAACTTGGCACAAAGACACAGCCTGCACCTGCATTCAACTACTGCTGCATCTGTAATGAACACTGTTATCAGCTAAAACATACTGCTTGGCATGGCCATTTATGGTCACACGACTGTGACAACGGCCATCTTTGAACCTCTATCACTGTACGACGTAGGATCACCGTTTAGGAGCCACGGCCACAGAATTTGACACGATTGGTCATCTTTCGCCTGGGACAGCACACAATTATACAATGTATGCCATGCATTAAACCAACCCGATCACACTAAATGCGTCTCTATAGCACGCAGTGTGTTTATCGTGTAATTTATACGCGAAAATGAGTTTTTACGTCCATAGGATACGCATGAGTTGGTTAGGGTAGGTTTAGTAGTGGTGTGGGGTGCGTGTGTATTATACGTTTGGGTAGAATTAGTGGTGTGGGGTGTGTGTGTATTACACGCAAATGAACTGCGTATCAAATGCACGCGAAAACTGCGTATCATATGCACGTAAAAACTCATTTTCGCGTATAAATTGCACGATAATACACAATGCTTGCTATAGAGACGCATTTACGTGAGAACAGGCTGATTAAACAAATGGCTTATAAAAACATTTCCAAGGGATTAGATATACCATGGAATACAGTGAAGACAGTCATCAAGAAGTACAGAAAGTATGGCACAACATTATCAAGAACAGTGTGTCCCTCCAAAATTGATGAGAGGACAAAGAGAAAACTTGTCAGAGAGGCTGTCAAGAGGCAACATTAAAAGAGTCTTCTGGCAAGTACTGGTTACTCCCTCCATGTTACAACTGTATTCTCCATCTGCCTGGGCTATGATTTATCTTTGTTTCAATTTTTACATCACAGCTGATTAAATAGGGGTGTGTAGACTTTTTATATCCACTGTAATTATAAAATTAAAATGGTGTTTGTAGAGACCCATTACATTTTTGGTGTAAAACTATCAGGGATTGTTGAATTTTAAAATCAAATTCACTTGAAAGTGTATTTTGTATTCGCCAAGAATAACTGCCTTAACATTGCCTTAAACTACAGCCCTTATATGTTGTCTATGTCATGTTGCACTTATGGAAAAAATGTGTTGTGTGTACTGCCTTGAGTAATCACTTGAACTTTTTAAGTGTAATTATGATCATATCCAACAAACATTTATTTGTCAAAGAAGCAAGTTGCTTCAACATCTTCAAAAAGTAATTTTATTAGTGGCTCTTGGAACTGCACTATTAAACATTCTGAAACTGTAAATCATATTTTTGATTCATATTTTCGATAGTCTTATATACCAGACAGTTGGCTGCTGTATGTGTTAGCTGATAACAGTGTTCATTACAGATGCAGCAGTACATGTAGTTGAATGCAGGTGCAGGCTGTGTCTTAGAGAGCGTGAGAGTGTCTTTTGTCAGAAGGAAAAGGGCCAGGTTGATTCGGTTCAAGACTAGGTTGGCACATTCTGGGCAGAGAGAAGAGAGATAATGTCTTTTGGCTTCAAGACTTTATTACAGGAGCCACCTGCAATGAGAAGCAGATCATTATCATTATTATTAATCAATCAATAAATGTAATTGTATACAATTTGAATGGTAATGATTTCCAGAGGGTTGATTATATTATGAATAAATAAATAAATTATTTGTTTAAATTGTAATGATTTTTAGAGGATTGATTATTATTATTATACCTGCAATGAGAAGCATCATCATTATTATTATTATTAATCAATAAATACATTTTTAATGGTAATGATTTCCAGAGGGTTGATTATTATTATTATTATTATTATGAATAAATAAATAAATAATTTGTTTAAATTGTAATGATTTTTAGAGGGTTGATTATTATTATTATTATTATTATTATTATTCAGTAAATTAATTACAATATTTATTTGTTTAAAATGGTAATGATTTGTAGAGGGTTGTTTATTATTAATTAATTGTTTAAATTATTAGTGTAAAATGGTAATGATTTATAGAGGGTTGATTCATTCTTCTTATTATTATTCAATAAATAAATAATGCAATTTTTGTTATTTCTTTTAATGGTAATGATTTATAGAGAGTTGTTTATTGTTATTATTAGTCAACAAATGAATTACATCATTTATTTGTTTAAAATGGTAATGATTTATAGAGGGTTGTTTCATTATTATTATTATTCAAGAAATAAATTCTATTATTTATATATTTTTAAATAGTAATGATAGAGTTGTTTATTATTATTATTAATCAATAAATGATTACATTATCTGTTTGTTTAAAACGGTAATGATCTATAGAGGGTTATTTATTATTATTAAGCAATATATTAATTTCTTTATTATTTGCTTAATTGTAAGATGTATAGAGGGTTTTATTACTATTAATATTATTAATCATTAAATTGATTCAATTATTATTTGTTTAAAATGCTAATGATTTCTAGAGGGTTGTTTATTATTATTATTATTATTACTAACAATGAAATGATTGATTTACTTAGCCACATGTCTGTCTGAAGACATGAAAAGTGTTTCAGACATTTGCTGTAATCCAAAGTGATCAAGCTGCTCAAGCACTCTCAATGACTTGTTTTGTTTTTTGTTTTTTTCAGCGAGTCCTGGCTTTAGTCAATCAAAATGACCCGGAACAAACAGTAAACAAAGAGTCCTTTAATAAAAGGCTGCCGTAGACCTTCCCACAAGCACATTATCATTTCAGTTCAGCTCCTTTTAACTCACTCCAAATCAGCCTGACTACAGTTCAGAGCTATTGTATAGCCCTGTTTCTCGTCTTACAAGTAGTTTAAAACTTAATGCCTATATCTTTAAATACTTGATAAAGTGATAATCGTTATAAAGATTTGAATTCGAATGAGGACCTGTGAAATGATGAGAAGTATTCATGTGCCTCTTTAGTGTAGATATTTGGCTTTTGTGATCCATAAAATGACCACAAACCCCAGTGACATGAGGTTTCTGTGCACTGGGAAGGAATGCGACCCAGTCAGGTTAATGGTAATGATATACTCCAGTAAGTTCACTCACAGAGAGTAGACAGTGTCCTCCTCTATCTTCATGAATCTGAGAATGGAGACGGTGCCCAAGCCAAACCTAAACACAGCCAAATCCACAAATCAAAAGGCCCAGATTTGGCAAGAGTTTTGAGGGTTTGCTCAATAGAACAGTTCAAAAGTCCAGTTCAAAGAATGACTTTGATATCAGGTGACATCAATATGTCCACTATTAAACATATGAAACCTTTTACAGTTGATTTAGCATCTTTTTCTCAGGTATAGGTGGTTGTGACTTTTCTTTCTTTCTTTCATAATTTATCTATTTACATTATTAAGACACATTCTTGGTCGTATTATGAGGGATTCATTTTATTCTAAAGAAAAAAGGATGTCTTCTTTCATCAAAATGTAATAACTTGCTCTGCTTCTGAAACGACTTTCATTTTTTGGTTGACATCACCAGGTCCCCTTATTTTTTTAACCGTTGCCCCACTTTTTTTTTTATATTCTGTTTTACTCAGAAATACCTGATATTTCAGCAGTAAAAAGTTGTGAATGACATTTCACCTTGAATTTAAACAATCTGAATGGTTTGAATGAAGTTTGTTTTGGTTTAGAGATTTCCAGTTAAAAAAGAAGTTGCAGGCATCTTGATATATTGGTAAATCATAATTATGAAATAAAAAGTCATAATTATGGCATAACAAGTCAAAATTATAACAAGTCATATTTATGAATTTGAACCTCACAGTGTCAAAATTGACATAAAAAGTCTAAATTATAACAAAAGGTCAAAATATAAACATTTTAACATTTCAAACTTTTACATCATAATTATGACTTTATCAAAATTTGACTTTTTATCTCAAATATGAATTAGTATCTCTTCTAATTTAAACTTTTTGTCATAATTGTAACTCTTTATGTCATATATGACTTAGTAATAATATATAATTTAGACTTTTTAATGATTTGATTATGATTTACCGAAGCATTTTCTTTCTTATGTTGCAGAAATAGTATCTTAAACCCAAATAAATATGGATTAAAGGTCATTAAAAATCTGAATCTGAGTATGATATTTTCTTATATCTTAATTTAATAATGTCTTAATTTTCACTTTACATGTCATAATTCTGACTTTTTGTCTAATAATTTCAACTTTTTATGTCCTCGTTTCAATTCTTTATCTGTCATTTAATCCAAATAAAAATGATTAAATGCCATTAAAAGTCTTAATCTGAGTAGGAAGATATAAAATTGAGTTCTAAATCATAGACTTGCACCTTGCACTCATCAAGATTATGTATTTAAACGAGATTTGACTAAACACGTTTATCTTTTTCATCAAATGACAGTTGCAGATATTGGACATATTGACCTTGACCCACTACTTTTGGTCAGGGTCAGAGAACATCCGGTACAACTGTACAAGCTTCCCTCATGTGATAATGATGAGGAACAACATCACACGAGTCATGATGAAGAAAAAGAGAGCAGGGGTTACTGGTCCACTGATATGTCTTTAAAAATGACGGGACAAATATTGTTCTGAAATCTTCATGGCAAACATACAGTTTACCCTTCTATATATGCACTCTGGTTCCGATGTCCATGACAAACAGACTCTCTGTCCTGTCCATTGTCAACAATGAGGGCACACCTGCACCTTAGACAAACAGAAACGGGAGTCTGGTTCACTACATTATCAAGAGCTGAGTCAACAAGCCATCAGACTGTACAGAAGGAAACTGCCTTACCAAACTCAGTTCAGAGAAAATAACCAGTCCTGATATAATGCAGAGGTTTTCTACCTTAGAGGGTCTGTGGAAAACTGGACAGAGAAGGAAAACAATGCTATTGATTGCACTTTAAACTGAATATATAATTTTTTATCACATGGTATGAGTTAAGTTTTTTTTGTACTCTAATGTTCAAAAGTTTACGGTCAATCATTTATTTACTATTCTTCTATTCAGCAAGGATGCATCAAAAGTGAGACATTTATAATGTTACACAAGATTTCTATTTCAAATCAATTCTGTTCTTTTGAACTTTCTATTAATCAAATAATCCTGAAAAAAAGTATCTAATTTTCCACAAAAATGACAAGCGTTTTAAAAATCGATGATAGTAAATGTTACTTGAGCACCAAATCTGAAGTCTGGCTGGCTGCTGAAAATTCAAATTCCATCACAGGGATAAATTATATTTTAAAATATATTAAAATATAAAACAGTAATTTTAAATTGTAATAATATTACAAAATATTACTGTTTCTATATTTTTAATCAAATAAATGCAGTGTTGGTGAGCATAAACCTCTTTCAAAAACATTAAAAAATCTTACCACAATCTTTTGAACAGTAGAGTAGATGAAAATGTATAAACAGCTTTATATTAGCATTGGTGAAATCTTTGCAAAGATGCCGTCATATTTAGGGTTCCTCTGGCACCACTGCTATGGGACAGGTTTGATTTAGTGTTTATTTGCATTGGTTGGTATCCACATTGGCAGTTTGTTTCCAGGACGGTTTTGTCAGGAGGCTGTGGTATGCATAACACTGACATGACCCCACAACACTCTTTCACAATAAACACTAACCACTCTTACACACACAATGCATCTTAATGCAATTAAACATGCTTAATGCAAAAAGTCCATTCAAACGAATGACAGGAATGAATGAACCTGTATTTCAGACTCGATGGAGTCTGCAAAACTAAAGACAGGGACTCTTTTTCAAACATTTTTCAAGAGACAGCAGGGAATCCAGGCACATACATACAGTGTTCTGGTAAATAATAATGGACTTTTGCTGCCCTTTAAATGTGTCTAAAAGGAAACCTGCGCAGAAATGTATTCCCAATGTTTTCTCAAGCATGCAATTTCCAAAATAAAATAGATGGCTGATGCTAGATGAGCTTGATAAAAATGTATTTTTATGTGTTTACTATCAGAAACGGTTTACGATGATTCTTACGTTTGAATCAGTATTCGACTAGTGAGGTCATTTCCTGTTTTTGTTCCCAGCTAACAGGGAACGTTCTCAGAACGTTTTGGCAAGGCTCTCTCAAAATCATGAACAAACACCCAAACACTTTTTGGGCCCTATCTTGCACCCAGAGCAATTGACTTTGTACACCGATGCATGTATCATTCCTATTTTGCACCCGACGCACAGCGGACTTTTCCCTCCACAGATGCACGCTCCCGGGGGCGGTTCAGCGAAAAGAGGAGGCGTGTTCTGGCGCAAACGTTCCCCGGAGCTATTTTGCAGTTTCAGAAAACCATTCCGCCACAGACCAGGAAAAACCTAGTCTAAAGTCAGTGGCGTGTTATTCAGGTGCTATTTTAAGGGCGGATGCTTGGCCATAATGTAGCGTGTGCACAACGCGCATACACTTTGCTTCTCTCATTTACACAGATGCAGCAGTTCCTATTTTTTACAAACCATACATAATTACAAGGAAAAATATTACCACATGAGGGAAATCATTGTGGTATCCATGAAGATGTGAAAAAATAGGCATAAATCTAGCTTACACATTTACCCAAATTATTATACGCCTGTTTAACCGAAGCTAGTTTACCTGACTAGCTCAGACCTGAAATTCATAAATCTTGAATGCATTTGAGTACAGACTTAAATTTGATCTCTTTTTAAAGATGACACTTGGCAGATTATTGCTGAAATGAAAAAAAAGTAAAAAAAAATATATATAACTTGAAAAAAGTTATAAAATGTATTGTTATGAATTTTTATTTATTTTTATATGAAATATATATTTTTCAAAACACATTTTACTCTAAAACTGTGAGAAAATCAAACCCATGAATCTAAACAAGCTGAGTTCCAAATTTGAGGTTGAAATCTCAAAAAATGAGCTTTCAGTAAGAATTTGTTGTGCGCAGTAACGTTTTCAATAGATGAAATTCGTCTCCCGTTCATTTCCAATGCGATAGTTTTTGATCGCGAACAATACAAGTGTGACCGTTTTTTTTTTTTTTTGCAGGACCATTTAACCTTTTCGAATTATGTCCATGATTTTCTTTTTTGTCCACACAGCAAGTGGCAAAAAATAAATAAATAATAAAAGTTCTGTAAAAATTGACCAAATTGCACCAGAGGGTTAGCAAAACATTCTTAGAACATATTTTTGCTAACTGGGATGGTGATATTGATGATAATGTCAAAAAGTGTTACTCTTGCTTGAACTGGCTCCCTTGTTACACTGAACAATCAAAGCAGCCGAGACTGCCGACAGTCTCAACAGATCTCCTAGAGGATAATTCTCACTAATATCCCGTCTTTCCCTTGATCCTGCTCTCTGTGCATGAGCAGACCCTCATTCCTCTCATGATTAGTCTGAGTTCCCTGTGGAGGGCACAACAGTCTAAACCAAAAAAGTTCTGGCCAAAACATCAACATTTTCATGCCTTCTGCGATGTTTCCTAGCTAACAGGAAACTTCCCAAGAACTTTGGCTAATTAAAATAGCCTCACATCATCATATACCCTTCACCATACCTAGAGATTGGCATGGTTTTATTTCAGTTAGCCTAATAGCTGGTTTGATTTGCATTGAGAGATGATCTTATGGAAAGCACCCCATGCCAATCTCTTGGCATGGTGAAGGGTATGTGATGATGTGGGGCTATTTTAACTCCAAAGGCCAAGGGAACTTTATCAGGATGCATAGTATCCTGGATCCATGAAATAACTGGCCTTTAAAAATAAAAATCTGCCTGCCTCTATGGGAATTTAGCATAGGGGTGTCCTGACTTATGCACCCTGTATTTTAAGGAAGAACATTTATTTATTTACGATACATTATTCATGCTCAAAGAAAATTGGTGTCCTTAAAGGTTGGATTTTTCCTCATTTTTTAAATTAAGGCATTAAGATCAATTTCCAAAAGATGATTTTTTTTCAGTCAACTTTAGCATGGGTGTGTTAACTTATGCTAAGCACTGTATATAAATATTTAAGTATTATGAGAGCTTAGTTAGACTCGATTATACCATTCTATTTTGCCGCGTGCTGCTTTTATTGACTCACTTATCGATGTAATTTTCTCTACAGCATCATGGGTAATGTAGTCTTTCACCAGTAATTCTGCTGTTAAATACAATTATTTTAAAAATAAGCTGAAATAACACGGCTTCAACAGAAGCAAATATCATTGATTATCAACCTCGTAGCTCACAAGGTTTGAAAGTTATTGTTCAAAATCGATTTCCCTATGGAGAAAATGAATGGAGCTTTTACTTCCGGGCGGAACCCGACCGTTGCACTTATTAGTTTCAGGGAAACGCATGGCTAAAGTAGTTCCAGGCAGGTCTAGACCGTATTACATGTCTATATCACTTCGCCAAATGATTTAAGTTATTTCAAACGTCCTTACAGCCTACAACAGCAAAAGAACGAAAACCCACAATGACACTGACCAAACAAAAAATATATAAACAGCGCGGTTCTTGAAGCAGATAAACTTAGAGTTTCGCTATTAGTAGAGACGCTCTGCCTGGCTGAAGCATCCATTACTAGCTCTAAAATGAAGTTTTGGAATTAGCAACGGAGGCTTGGGATGAGACGTTTAATAAATTAGTCCTACACACAAGAGCGTTTTAAGGGCAAAAACTCTGCTAAATAAAACCCTCACGTGAATCCTGACTCTGATTCAGTTACGGCACTGCAATCCAATCTACTGATTAGACAAGAACTCATTCAATAACTCAATTCTCTCACCTAATAACATCTCCCTCGCTCCAAAGAGGAAACGTTGCAGACATACCTCAGTTAATTACCAAACATAACATCCAGGGTCTCTTTGGGAGTTTGCATGGCAGAGGTGTATGCGCTCATGTACTGTCTGCTTGTGGGCTGGAAAAGAAGCATGGTGATGTGACAGCAACAGGGCCGTGTGCTGCCCCAGGCTCTGTAGACTGGAGCCAGGCCAAATCTTCACATTCCTCCCTCTGTTTCCAAGCTCTGGCTGCCCGGTGGAAATGACCTGGGCACTGATCTGAGATCAGTTTGATGTGGTATGCCGGTGCACAGTGGCCAAAAGAGCAGTACAGAGAGAGAGAGAGAGAAAGCTCTCACACACCCTCCACTCAAACAACATTTCCCCACCTCTCTTTTTCTCTATCGTCCACTTTTGTGTGCTGAAACGAGGGCAGAGACAAATGTTACAGACAAATCAGGGGAGGACATTTAGTTCCACAGAATAGCTCTTTTCTTTCAGCCCGAGCTCTCTGGATACGTGTTTTTATCTGGGCAAACAGAAGAGCTGTGTGGCCACAGGAATTCCAGGTCACAAGGATTCCTTCGGCAAGGATGACTTCACCTGTGACAGATTCATTTCCTCTCCAGGAATGAGACCTGTTGCTTTGACTTTGAGAGGAACTGAAGACGGTAACAGGAACTTTTGCCTTTTTATACCATTGAGGGAGTTCTTTTTGGACATTATGGGGTTGTTGTCAATGGATCAGAGTTCCCTTCTGGTGGTGGCCGCTCTTTTTGGGATGCACCACTTTGCTGAAGGGGGATGCTCAGGAAGGTGCTGTCAAGGCACAGATTTCACCTGTTTCACTACAGACTGGAGGATGGACCGTGTCTATGGGATGTGCTATTGTGATGAGAGGTGTGTAAAGACTAAAGACTGTTGCTTTGACTACCCAACTGAGTGCCCAGGTAAGTGGTACAGTCATATTTGGGCATTGACAAACTGATTACTGAACACAGTAAATAATATAGCCTAGATTTAAAAAATAAAATAAGTAAAAAATACTAAAATGGTGACCCTGATTTCATCAAGTACTACAGCATGTTCCTGGATCAACATTCCAATCAACCAATCAGATTTGAGGGTTTACAGTTTATGTCTAGTTTAGGCTTACAACCAGGGTTAGGTGCTTCTACATCAGTGTTATTCACCTATCATTTCCCTCTGATTTACTCTGCGTAAAACTTATCGAGCAATTCTGACAGGATAATTTTATTTAGCAAAATATCTCACCATTCACTGATGCGCAGGTCGCACGCAGTCACCATATGTTTGGTCTAAAACACAACTCTCAGGTTTTGCCGCAGGACAGCAAATGTGAGTAAATTCTGTCATCTTTGCAGGACTGATATGAAGAGTGTGCAATGTAGAATATGTTTAGCAACAGTGTGAAAGTGAATAGCACATAGCAGGCACTATACTATACTAGTATAAACAATAGTTATAAACATGAATATCTATTGGTACAATATGCGTCACATGACTAAATTTACATAATCGTTTTTAAAGGTGAACTAAGTAACTTTTTTACCTTAACCGAACAGCTTTGGAGTCATTGTAATGTTTATATTACTGATTTCGTGATGAATGGTGGTCGTCTCGCACCCCCCTGGTGCCTGTGAGCCGCAAAACCACCCTTGCAACTTTGCGCCGCCGGGCCGCCGGCCTCAGTGTTAGGAAGTATCGATATCAGGTCTCGCGAGGTAACGAATTGCTTTACGGCAAAAAACAGATCTGATAAAATTCTGATAAAATGAGCATCAAACAGAAAAAACCTGGCGCCGTATACATGTGTTGTTCGAGGCGCACATACAATACAGACTGCCGACAGTTAAACAGGGCGCGCGCAGCTCTTAAAGGGGCCATACCTTATTTCCACTCGTTACAGCGTCCATCCTACTGAACAGGTACCGGTGTACAGGGGGAGGGGATCCGGCCGTGAGTGCGAGCCATCTCTGCGTGAGTGCTATTCACGACAGTACAAGTACTCCACAGCGACTCTAGGGGTCGCTGTTTGACAAAAACGGAATTCCTACTTAGTGCTGCTTTAAATACCCAGTGCGTTTTCAAAAAACGAGAAAACGAGTGCGTTTTCAAAAAGCTTTGATTTCATTAATAAAAATGCCGCCTCAGTGTGGACGGAAGGCCAAAACGGAGAGAAAAAGATGCATTTTCGAATGAAAACGTAGGCTTATTAGTGTGGACATGGCCTGGGTGATGAATACATCTGATATTTTAGGATAATTACCAGCTGACTGTTGCAACAGTTTTCAGGCAGGGTAGTTGAGTCCATGATCTAATTGCAGCTTTTATTAGAATAAACCCAGATAAATAATATCTAAAAATGTAGGAGATAACACAATCCAAAGAATGGCCAACCATGACAGCTTAAAGTCAACATGAAATCAAAATTGATAATTCTTATTTTTTTTATAATGGAATATTGCAGTACTATCCGTGCGCATCATAATTTTTTTTTTAAATAATTCATGTGCCCTCATAATCTTTAATCAAAATAGCGTCCCCTCTCTCTTGAAACAACATCTCTTCTCTGATGTTGAGGGCGGAATATGTCACTCACATGACATCACAGAAATAACTAATCTAAACGATCCAATCAATTCCTGATGGACAAAATCAAATTCCGGTGTTCATTTTTTCTTTTTTTGAGAAGGTGTTTCAACATGGGCGTCAGTTTGGTTTGAAATGTGGGGGGGACAGAGACGCATTCGGAAGGGCATTTTCAAAAGTGCTGGGTACAATGACGCGTTCATTCTTTTTTCTCTTTCGCGCAGGTCATGGTTTGAAAGACGCCGATGTCCTGTAGCTTACTGATTTAAATAAATAAAAATGTATACAAAGATGTGATGATGTCCGACCAAAAATGTGATGGTACTTTGGGTTTAAATTTAATATTATATTAAGATCTAATATAATGTTGTTAGTATCGTGAATTTTTACGTGAATATATATATATAGATCCGCCTGCGATGCGAATGTACTGTAATGGTCCAGTGGCAGAATTTTTGCCAAGCGTGTCGGAGGTTGAGGGTTCTAATCCGCACTCGTATAGTTTTTTTCCCCACATCAAAACCGATAATTGTATATCAAGAATCTTGATATACTTTATCACTGATAAACATTATCGGTTTTGATGAGGGGGAAAAAAAACTATACGAGTGCGGATTAGAACCCTCAGAAGCAGGGACACGTTTGTGTGCATTTTGAATTGTGATTTCTCTGGAACGAATAGAATCTCTGCAACGGATTGAAGCGCGCGTCCGAGTGAAGACAACACATTTCAGCGCTAGATCGCCTCTTATTTAACAAATGAATTAAACGAATGCTGCTAGTTAACTAGAGATTTTTTATTTGTATTGGTACATCCGTGACGCGAGATGTTTCAAAAGTGGTGGGGACAATATCGACCCTGGCAAAAAGTGGTGGGGACATGTCCCACCCGTCCCCCCCGTAAATGACGCCTATGTGTTTCAATCCAATTTACATCACAATAAGGAAGAAAAGACAATCACAACTTTCATTCTGACATTAACAACTTTCATTCTGACATTAACATGGGTAAATAAAGGCAATAACTAACCATGTTAGACTAACAAAGAGGGCTATGGCTGCATCCGGATCACACAATCTCACACGGGAGAGGAATGGCTGTGAAGCGACTCAATTGATGCTGGTAGGTCACATGATAATGATAGCAATGCTAATGTAGTAGTCCGGATTACATAGAACATACTTTTTTTTAGCGGTCGTGGAGTAATTACTTTTTCAAAATAAGAGAGTCTGCGATTTTAGATGCAGCCTCCATATAACAAGGAACTAAAACATATATAAAATAAACATTATATATATAAACACAGCATCTGTGCATTATCTCAATTATTACACAGCTATTCAAATAAAAACGTGGACAGTATAATGTTGCCATTATTTTGTAACAACAGTAAATATTAAGAAATAAGAATATTAAGAAAATCAGAATTATTCTAAAAAGACAAATAATCTTATACTGTAAATCCAGTTTATAGTAAATGACACCAGAGTATAATGTGCAATGTGTAAAGGGATCAATTATTCACACAAGACTTCCAGCTTTTGCAGCTTTTGACTCATTGTTAGTGTAGTGCCATTCGAAAAACTGCATGTTGGCCTGAGCCATTTTCTTTTGTTGCCCTGTCACAGCATGACATATGCATGTGATTATTAATATTTAGATACAAACAGCCCCCATTGTCCACAACAATATTCGAAGGCCCCATGACTTTTCTAGTTGTTTGTTATTTACTGAATATGGATTTTTTTTCCCACAATTTCTATCCAAGAAAGTATTTTAGATCTTGTAAACCTAGAAAAAGGTATAGGCTATTCATAAAATGTATAAAACTGAGTTATGAGATTGTATTTGTTTACATGACTTGTCCAAGTCTAGGAATCACACATTTAAAATGAGGCTATTTTCAGATTCTTTAAGACCATGAGAATGTGAGACAAAAATAAGTTCTTCAACAGTCCTTGAGAGAATCAATTACAATAAGAAATATCTTGATTTTTAGATAGGTTCTTTATTGGTATTGATGGTTCCATGAAGAACCTTTAAGTTTCATGGAACAAAAGGTTCTTTATAGTGGAACAAAAGGTTCTCATTAAAATGTTATTCACGAAAACTATGGTTCTTGAGAGGTTCTTTGGGGAATCCAAAATGGTTCCTCTATGCAATCGCGATTTACTTTTTATTTGCTTAAAAATTTACTTTTAAGATATAGGGCCCCCTAGTTGGCCCCTGCCACCTGGTTGAGAACCACTGATATAATCTTGTAGATTTGTGCAACTTCTCACCCATGGCTTGTGTTTTTAGCCCAGCCGTGTGTAGTGAGTGAGTGGAGTCACTGGAGCGGGTGCGCACAGCCCTGCCAGCCCTCATTCCGGGTCCGGAGACGCAGCGTTGAGAGACTGCCCCAAAACAGCGGACAGGCCTGTCCAAGGCTGGAGGAACAGGCCGGATGCATGGAGTATCAGGATCGCCAGGGCCAGTTTTGCTTTCAGACGCAAGGTATAAATCTGAGTCAACATGGCTTACACATCTTTTCCATCCAAATGCACAGTGACTTCCATAGTGTAATCATTATAAAGTTGAGTTTTCCATGGATTTTTTTTAAAGAGCTCTTGCGAAACTACCAACCCTCGTAAAAAAAAAAACAAGTACACTTCAGCATACTTTTAAAAAGAGAAGTTATTACAGAAATAATACACTTTAAAGGAATATACTTAAGTGCAAATGTTTTCAGACACTTAATTGCATGTTGTTTACAATTAAATGAAAATATATAGGCCTATTAGTTAAAATTTATGCAATTAGTTAAAATTAAGAGTGCTTTTCTTAAGTAATTACATAACTACTTACATTGTCTTTATGGTTAAAGTGATGCACAGAAAAGCATTTATGATAAACTATGGTCTGGTTTCACAGGCAGGGCTTAGATTAAGCCAGGAGGACTTACATAGGACATTTAAGTAGCTTTTTTAAAATGTGCCTTGATGTGGATCAACACATTTTAAGATGTGTCAGTGGAAGTTGCTTTCAGTTAAGACAGCTCAAACATGCATTTTAGTCTGGTACTATCTTAAGAAAGGCCTGATCCCACAAGAAAAGGCATAGTCTGTGAAACTGAGCATATAATGTCATTTCTATTGAAACTTGTATGTCATGTATTTATGTCATGTGTATTTTATATTCAAGTATGTCTTGTAATTACACATACACATTTGTAATGATGATGTTGCAATTTAGTTCTTAATCCCCGGTTTAGGTTTAAGCTAGTCCCAGACTAAAATGCTTGCTTGAGCTGTTTTAACCGAAAGCAACTTGCACCGATATATCTTTAAATATATCAGTGCCATTGTTTTGACTCACGATGCACATCAGTAATGTTTTTTTTCTAAGATATGTTTATAAAAGCTACTTAAATGCCCTAATTGAATTTAGGGCGAATCCTTTCTTAATCTGAGCTCTGTCTGTGAAACTGGGCCAAAATGTAATATCAAATAACATTGTACAGTTTAAAATGATCAAGAATAGGCCTACTTATGTGTTAGTCACCAGATCAAAATAAGTGTAAACTTCTCCTGACGAAAGATTATTAAAACATAATGATTTAACATGTACTTTAAAGTAGCATTTTTATTTTGACATCATCACAAAGTCCACTATTTTTAAAAGTATGTTAGGAATATTAAGAAGTAAGTTAGTAATGAAAGGTATTCTCTTTAAATACACTTAAGAGGCCTTTTATGTAATTGATATATTATCTGCAATTAGTTTTTAGTATACTTTTTTAAGATTTGAAGTACTCTACAAGTGTACATTCAATACAATTCAGCACACTTTTTTTTTTTCACAAAGGGAGTATTGCTTTTAAAATGCTTATATCGGTAGAGCTTCGTTGTTAAAGAACCCAGTGAACTTCAGTCAGAAATCAAGGGACTTTTCAACTTGATGGTCCAAAGTTGATCACTTAGCTGTTTTGAAACTAAACTGGCCGTGTTGGATTAATTCCAGGAGCAGCATTTATTACCACAATGGAGTACAGCAAAGGCAGAACACATGATTTGTATGGGGCCCAAATGGATGCTGGGTATGTATCACCGTCGATTAAACAATCACAAAGAGACTGTTGATGATGAGAATTTGTGAGGAGAAGCCTGTTTACTCACTTCAACAAATAGTTCATTACTTAAAGTCACAAAAACAGACAAGTAATAAACTAATAACAATACACAGGACTATCAACGAATGCCTTAATTAGTTCTTCATTTAGCTGTTAGCATTTTAGCTAACTTTGATGGCACGTAAAACTTTGTATGTGAACTGAAACAATGTTAAATCTCACAATGTGATTGTTTCTTATAACTTTATTTTACAATAAACACAATGAAAGATTTGAAGTCAAGCAATGATGTGCTCCACAGTTTCTGTATGGAGTTCAAGATGGAGTCTCTGACGCCGCATTGCACGGTGGAGAACAGACCCAATACACGCTGGATGCAGTATTTGAGGGAGGGCTACACTGTTTGCGTGGCTTGCCAACCTCCAGCTATGAGTAACCACAGTCGGGGCTGTCAAGGAGACGGTAACCTAGCTGAGAGGTAGTGTACCCATAGTGCCACAGTGTTGTTTAGAGGACCTGTTTCTGAAGCAGCAACAACAGCACAGTCTGTTATAAGTTCACTGTGAGGTCAGAGTATGTCTTAATGCTGAAACAACATCACAATTCATGAGATATTTAGGTTTCACAAAAGGCTCTAACAGACTTTTGAAAAATAAGTTTCATGGGGTGATAATAGATCATAAAACAAGCTGGAAATCTCACATAAACCATGTACACAAACTTTCATGAAGCATTTTAGTACTGAATAAAGCAAAGCATGTTCTGGACCACATTTCACTCCACATTATTTTTTTGCGCACTGTATTAACATATTTAAATTACTGTGCAGAGGTTTGAGGCAATACTTATAAATGCATCACTATCTATGTTGCAAAAAAGAGCCATAAGAATAATTCATAATACTGGTTATAGAGATAACAAATTCATAAAAAAACAAAACAAAGACATTTTCAAATAGCACAAATAATGTATTAAGCACAAAAACAACCTACTCCATGCCAATATATATATATATATATATATATATATATATTTTTTTTTAAATAGAAAAGGGAAATATAATCTTAGGGGATAGTGCAACTTAAAACATCTTTGTGTCCATACAACATTAAATTGTTTTTGTATTTCTATATGTGGAGTGAAGCTGTGGAACGGATTAAGTTCAGTGCTCAAGCAATGTCCAAGCATGACCCAGTTCAAAAAGCTGTACAAAAATATGGGTTTCACAAGGTGCAGGAAGGAAAAAAGGGCTTTGACGAGTTGTTCTCACATATAATTTTTTTTACACAATTTATTTTATATGGTGGATTTATACGTGTAAATATGTGTTTTCTTTGTATTTTTTGGTGTGGGGATAATTATAAATATATGCAGTAAATGTACTGTATTCACATTTAAATACAAGAATTAAATGAGCTTATGCTTCTTCCTACTCCTTTTCGGACATGTATAAATTTATATTGTTTTGTTTTTGTCTATTAGCTTTTATTGTATTACTTCGAAAATTAAAGCCATTTATACCTCCTTGAGGACTAAGATGTACAGGTTCATAATTAATACGAGTAAAGCACAATGCATAATTACTTCTAAAGATCATGCAGTAACCTACTTGTAATTACTTAAGTATTACCAAATCCTTCTGAAGGAATTACTGATTATTTGGAACAGATTCTAAAGTGAAAAGCATAACTCCCTAGTAATCACTTAAGTCATAGTAATGACTTCAGTGTTACTACATCCTTCTAAAGGAATAACTGGTCATTTGAATCAGTATTCTAAAGTAAAAATCATGGTAACTCACTAATAATGACTCAAGTATCACCAAATCCATCAGAAGCAATTACTATACAAAACCTTACAATGACTATCATGCTTTTCACTTTAGGATGCTGTTCCAAATAATTAGTAATCCCTTCTGAAGGATTACTTGCATCATTACTAGTGGGTTACCATGAGCTTCACTTTAGAATGAATTATACATTAATGTTGTATTACTCATTTGTTCCTGTGTAGTTACTCATTCATGACGGAACAGTATTGTAAAGTGTTACCGACTCTTCTTATCTTGGCAGGGATGAGCTTCTACACTGGCAGGCGGTGGGAAGTCCTCGCTGCAGAGGAACATGGAGGAAAGTACAGAAACTACAGCACTGCTCCTGCCCTCAAGTGCACAGCTTCATTTTCATTTAAACAGTCTATACATAAGAATGCTTCTTCAAAGTCCTTGTTAAAATCCACAAATAAGCAATATGTTCTATTACACAGTAAAAAAAAAAAAACATTTACACACATTAAAAGCTCTTTAGTTTTTTTGTACAGTATTGGTTCAAACTATTTTTGTTTTTTCTGTAAAAATAAATCCAGGAACAGAATTAAAGGCAAACCGAAGCTTTCATTTATCTCACTTGCAACCTCTACTGGACAAATGTTGGCCTTGCAGTATAAGCAAACAGCAACAGAACAGAACAGAACAGAACACTTTGAACGTTATTATACTATTCATCATCAACACTGTTCTGCCAAATAGTATTTTTGAACTTTTAATTAACCAAAAAAAGAAAAGAAAAAAGAAAAAGGCACTGCGGATTTTGAAATCAGCACAGCTTAAATAATAAAACCTTAAAGTCTAAAAGGTCATAAATAATAAAAAAAAAAGCAGCAGCAGCAGCTCAGAAGTCCTCTCCCTTACTCTTCAGGGTTCTCCATCTGTCCTTAAGATTAACACCAGTGCGGTTGTTAAACTCAAAGTCATTCAGGATCCTGCTCCAGTTGCCTTCCCCATGTTTCTTCACACCTGCTTTCAGCATCCGATCATCTATCGCAGTCCACTTCTGAAACACACAAACATTGATGCTGTTTAAATGTTCATATGCTTGTGCTGTACACACACACGTTTGTAAGACTATCTATGTTAGGCCATTCATTGGTATGATCTCTAGCCCCTTACCCTCATCACAAGTACCTAACCTTAACTCTTTCCCCGCCAGTTTTTTTTTTTTTTTTTTGTTGCCAGAAAGCTCCAGTAAAAAAAAAAAAAAAAAAAAAATTCAATGCCCACTGAATAATTTGTTGTATGAATATCTGCATCATGCAATAAATTATAATATAACCACACACACACACACCACTTTTAGAGTAACTCACCCTCCTGGTTTTGCTTGTCACACTAACATCGCTTTGTAATTCCGAAGGGCTACTACTTCTCCTAGAAACCTCTGTATGGATAAAATAAGAATGTATTAATGTTAGAGATTTATAAATGGAATGAGTTGTTCCAAACCCATGATGTTATTTCTACGGAACACAAAAAGAGAAGTTTGAAGAAATGCGCATTTGTAAATAATAATGATGTTTTAGGACACTTAAACCAATGCTTTTTGATGTTATAAAGACCAGAACATACAATCATCTGTGAAAATGGTGAATATGAACTTCCGCATTGAAAAGATCTACAGTATGTATTTTCTCATGGAAAAATAACAGGTTTGGAACACTATGAGAGCGAGCAAACTTTGTCAATACTCCTTTAAAGGGTTAGCCTAGTTCACCCCAAAATTAAATCTCTGTCATTAACTACTCACCCTCATGTCGTTCAATTAATGACAGAAATTACATTTTTGGGGGAACTAACCCTTTAACAACATACAGACGTACAAAATTATTCAGTAAAACAATATCAAACCACAAAAAAATCCATTGGTTGAGAACTTACTGCAAATGGAGGTTCTCTTGGGTCGCTCTTTCTTAGCAGTGTCTGGTTTCCACGGGTCATGAGTTTGTTTGGAAAGAAGTTTCCTTTTGGGTCTGTGACGCATACAGAATTGTTAATTTTATGTTTTTAATTTGTTTTCAATTATTAAAGCAATTAGTATAAAAGCAACTACAAGTTGGTATGAGTGATAAAAAATAAGGTGAGATCACATGCCAGCTCCACTTATTGATGATTACGGTAGTCATACAAATAATACACATAATGACACAATTCATACATAATGATAGGCCTATATAATTTACTTAAATGCTGTGTAATTTCACTCATTTGGATGACAAAACGTGAAAATTTCAAATTGACAACCATTGCGGTTATCTCAAATAAATGTGATTAGATTCAATAACCTTGATCAGTCGATTAATCAATAGCAAGTGTTAGTCAGTATAATGACTCTTAAGACCCATTCACACCAAGACCGATAACTATAAATATAACCGTAACTATTACTATATTAGCGTCCACACGAGCGGATGATAAGAGTTTATATCAAGGGCTCTGCAGTTTTGTCGTCTGCCGCTTTACATGCTCGAGCTCTTTAAAGCAGAAAGCATTCTGATTGGCTGTCAATACTTTTATCGTTCATAAGCTGGAAGGCATTGTTCTGAAAGTGATTCCAACAATATTGTTTCTCTGTTCCGTTTTCGTTACAGTTGTGGTGTGGAATCTGCAATTCTTTTATATTTAGAAAAATGTATCTATGTTTATCATTATTATTATCATTCTTTGTGTGAACGGGCCTTTAAAAATTCATATATTGTAACAACGAATGTAGCTGTAGAAATAACTTTCAAGGCCCTCACCTCATATTTAGCACCAGTTGATCCACCTGTGCCTCATCTCTGTATGGAAACAGCAGCACCAAATAAATAAAGCAATAACTAAACATACATTTTCAGTTGCAATGCACATTAAATAAAAAAATCCACAAAAGTCTCTACAATTACAGATTTGACTTTAGAACAAAAAGGTTTATATATATATAAATGACCTAAATAAAATGTTATTTTAGACAATTTTATTTTATATTTACACAATAAATAAAATGTTATTTTATTCTAATCAAAGATATCTGCAGTTTAAAAATGTTGTAGATGAGAAAGAGGATTTTACTCTTCTGTTTTAATTGACTCTGGGCTGGATGGCATCCTCTCGCTTCTGTCCTGTTCAGATAACGTTTTCTCTGATCTCTCATGACGTGCTTCAACTACTTTTGATGCTGCCTAAAACACACATATAACGGTGATGAAAATGTACATTTCTTGTAATAAGCAGCAAATACACGGTCAATAAATCACAGTCAAAGTAACCCATTAGCGGCAACATGACTGCATATTCAATGTGTTGCCTTTACTTTTCTTAGGTGGTTATTGAGGGTGAAGCTAACAGCAACATTTCAGTAACCCCATAAAAACAATGCAATTCTAAGAGATCATTAGGCAAATTACGGCAGTACGGTAACCACATTGAAACCACAGTCAATGAAGCCCATTAGCACTGGGATTCTCTTTCCCACAGGATGTAGCACACAAATCCGACAGTTTGTCATGGATCAGATTTTTGTATGTAAAACAAAAAAGGCCTCATACTTCGAGTAAGAAAACGGAGGGACTTTCCAGGCTGAATGCGTCGAGGAACATGTCAATGTTCTCCAACAGCTGGTTGAAAGTGAGGTTCATCAGAAGCGGATCAAATGCATCTTTCTTACTCACAATGGCGGTAAGCTTTCCTTGTAGTTTCTAAGACACACACAAATTGATGTTAATTTGCTGCTTTGTAAGAAAAGCATGTTAAACTGTAACAGGTAAATGCACACCTCAGGTATTTCAGTCTCTTTTTCCAGCCACTGCAGGGTTTCCTTCGCCAACTTTGAATTCCCTTTCTTCACACACACAGCGACAGACTTGGACACAATAAAAATACTGTTACATTTTTATTACTTCAAGGCACTGTGAAATCAAAATTGCAATATTTTGAAAAAAAAAAAGATTTGTTAGTGACGTGTTAATTATTAGAGATCGACCGATTGATCGGTTTTGCCAATTAATCTGCACCGATAAACCAATTGCTGGAACAATAGGTTATCGGCAAAAACCAGCACAGATTTTTCCAGGTTGCTGTAGTGGCTGAGAAACCACTGTTAATATACAGTATGCGAGCGGCCTCTACAGTCAAAATAAAAAAGATCACAGACACTTCTGGTGTTTGTTTTTAAACGTGAGACTGCGCATGCACAGAGCGGATGCCTGTTACATGAGGCTAGTTGAACAAACTCTGAGTTTCAGAGTTGACAAATCCATATAAATCTAACCTGGTTTAGATCAGGTTCAACGGGCTCACAACACGTGCTCAGTATAAACATTCTCTGTGAAATCCAGAGTTTGCGATTAACATTGAGGCGCGTACACCTGAAAGTGTGACACGTGCGGCAAACAGCCAATCACACGGAACATGGAGAGCGTCAGTTTGGTTCACTTCTTTGCTGAAGATTAAAGGTCCTTGCACACTGAGTCCAAAATTTTCTTATGCATTTTTTCATATTCGTCATTCGGTAGCTCTGAATTGTCAAAAGACCTATCAAAATGCTTGCTACGGATGCGAAAAACGCAGAAAATCGAACCCGATCCTAATTTTTTTATGACGGACGAAAGTTTCGGAGGCAGTGTGTAAGCGTGATTAAAATAACATGAGGTCGTATGTATTTTTTAACGTGCGAAAATTTCGGACTCAGTGTGCAAGGACCTTAAAGGGATACTCCACCGTTTTTTCATATTAAACTATGTTATTCTCTTATCTAAGACGAGTTGATGCATACCTCTCTCGTCTCAGTGCGTGCACTGAATCGCTCTGTCGGGCGGAGAACTTTGAGAGCAGTTAGCTTAGCCCTATTCATTGTATATGGGCCAAACAGAGATGTAGTTAGAAGCGACCAAACACATCCACATTTTCTCTATTTAAATATAGTTACACGAGTAGTTACACGACCAAGTATGGTGACTCTAAATAAAATGTGGCGCTTTTTATAAGCGGGTAAAATGGATAACTATAATGTATGGCGGAATAGCACTTATTGGGAGCACTTCGACTCGGCGCTGTAATATCTTCACTCGTGAAAAGTCCTCTCCCCCTCTCCCTCTCCGTCAATAGAACCAACGTGACCTGCACGCCTGCAGTAGTAGTAGTTTTTTGTGCAGAGTGACGAAGTATCAGGGAGAGGGAGAGGGGGAGAGGACTTTTCACGAGTGAAGGTATTACAGCGCCGAGTCGAAGTGCTCCCAATAAGTGCTATTCCGCCATACATTATAGTTATCCATTTTACCCGCTTATAAAAAGCGCCACATTTTATTTAGAGTCACCATACTTGGTCGTGTAACTACTCTTGTAACTATATTTAAATAGAGAAAACGTGGATGTGTTTGGTCGCTTCTAACTTCATCTCTGTTTGGCCCATATACAATGAATGGGGCTAAGCTAACTGCTCTCAAAGTTCTCCGCCCGACAGAGCGATTCAGTGCACGCACTGAGACGAGAGAGGTATGCATCAACTCGTCTTAGATAAGAGAATAACATAGTTTAATATGAAAAAACGGTGGAGTATCCCTTTAAGAGATCACTATGAAAAAAATATAATGAAATGAAATGCATTTACAAAGCAAGCAGGAATAAACTGCTGCAGGACAAGTTTGAGAAGGCAGCAAAAAGAAAATATCTGAATATCAATGCAAGCGAATCATACAAATATGCCTTAGAATTTATATAGTTTGAAGGTGGTTTCAGTTGCTTGCTACCCAGGTAAGTTTGAGCAAACACAAGCAAGGTGGAGATTTTATATATATATATATATATATACACATATATACACACAGTTCACACACACACACACACAAACAAACAAATCAGATATTTTTTTTTGTCACTGTAATAAATATTTTGATTATATAATCAAGTGTTCTAAAAAGCATATACATACAATATACATGTGTATCTGTTTTCAATGCTATGGCCTTTGCATAGATATTTATCCCGTAGTTTGGATTTATATGAAATGGTATCACTTTTCAATTAAGAGCTCATTTGTAACTAACTAAGGTTAATAAAAAGTATTGTTCATCATTAATTTCAACATTTACTAATACATTTTTTACATTTTAAAGTTTGAACTCTTAGCATTCACCCTCGCACACCTGCAGGTGATAGGTGTGTGGGAGAATAGACCAAATAAGTCAGGTCAAATATATATAAAAAAAAAAAGGAAATCCCACACACTATGGTATTAGAATTTGGGATTTCCTTGTTTTTTAAAAAAGTTTTATCTCTTAACATTAGTTAATGCACTATGAACTAACATTAATGATCAAGGTATAATTTATATATTAATATTTATTAATACGTTTCTTTTTTTTTTTTTTTTCATAATAAAGTTTAACACTATTTAATGTGTTGTATCTGTTTTTATTCAGTGTCCATTTTAAAAACTATCGGTTGATTAATCGGTTATCGGCCAGCATGGTCCAACCTAGTTATCGTTAGTGGTAAAATCCATCATCGGTCGACCTATTTATATAATATTATTAATTATAAAGGATTTATCCACGAACATCATTTATAACATATAAATCCAATCAATTCCTGATGAACAAAATCAAGTCCCGCCTTACATTTTTCTTGTTCAAGAAGATGTCCCACTCTTATATACTGTATATGTCCCAATAGGGAAGAAAAGACAAATCAAAACTTCTGTTTCATGCTGACTTTAAACCTATTAAAACCCTACAATGTTAAACAACTCTCTTAAGCATACGTACCTGGACAATCAGTAGCGTTTTGATCTTAGCGTGTAAATCTGTATCGGACGCTTCCTTTAATGACTCCCAAATCGGCAGCGCTGACATCAAGGGAGTGATTTGAGTAAAGCGATCATAATGGACATCTTAAAAACACAACACAACACATGATGGGTAAGTGTGAAAGTTTCAGACCAGCGCACTTGAATCTTTCATTTACTTTTTTTTTATATTTGGAAAACATAAACGGTCAAATTTAGCCTATATTTTTAATACATTTTCTTTATCATATATGCGCATATATTTGTGTGAAAATTTATTAAAAGCAATATAAATTTGATTCAAATAAATAATACATCAAATAGTAAAGAACTATAGTGAATAGAAAAAAGTAATGCATTAGGAACTAAATATGTTTCAAATTTTGTTTACACACACACACACACACATATAGGCTATATATAAACACTTTCTCACAGTATAAATCGGGCCTTTATACATGAAAATGAAATGAAAAGCAGCCTTTAAAAATATTTAGAATGGGGGTTGAACATATTTGAGGATCCGTGGCATCTAAATGATAGAAAAATCCTGCTCTAGACAAAAAGGATTATAATAAAATCATTCAAATTTTGAGTGACAAAAACTGAGAACCCTGCATTTTGGAGTTATATCACATTCACAGCAGTATAATTTCGTGGTATTATTGCAAATGACTGTGAAGCCCAGTATATTTCTTGTATAGAAAACATTTAAACCAAAGTTTAATGTTTTGCTGCCACATACATTGCTAATTATATAGTTGCATTACCCAGTTGTTCCCCATCTATCACTCTGGCAAGGAGGCAGCAGATCGTTCTCTGAGAGGGAGGACCTGACCTGTGGGAACATGACTCGAGCTCATCCACCAAAGCTGAGGAAAACACAATACAATATATGAGAATGCAATATTAATGACATTTATAATACAAGTAAGTTAAGCAATGAACGCACCTAGCATTAACTATCGGAATTCCTTAGGGGAATAAAAAACAACAACATTTTCTTACCTTCAAATATTTTTAAAGCTTTATGAAACTCCGGTCCAGATCTTGCCTTGAAGTGCCGACATAGTGTCGCGAAATAATAGTCGACCATCCATGATTGAACAACACTTTCGACTTCAACTACATTCGTTTTTTCAGTTGAGCTTGAGATCTCATGAGACGCGCACTCCGTATCCATGTTTATGCAAAAAAATAACCAAAATAACAAACATTCCCGCCAACTGTTGTGCGGGCGGAGTTTATGAGAAGCTCTGGCCACAGCGTCCCCTGCCGGCGCGGAAGAAACAACAATAGCGACTTTTTGACTTGGGTATTGAACAACAGCTTTCTTTTCTCACAATATCACAACTAAATTAACACTATTGTGAATTTTATAGCACTTTGCTTTGGTCTGATTTTTTTCCGTGTCCCCAGTTAGGTCCATTCACTAACTGTCTTCCACCATGAAACAAAGCATCATCATTTTGTTAGGAAAAATAGCAATAACAGTAAGTAGCCTATTAGCAATGTATGTGATGAATTCTGTGACTGTGATGTGTTGTGGTTGCTGGTTTGTCTGAATCTAAAATATTACATCCTTTTTGATAAAATTACAGAAACTGGTATTATCAACTTTTTATAAGAATTGAGCATCATGCAAGTTAACATTGCTCACTGTTTGGCCTGGTTTGGCTACTTATCTTATTAAGTATATAAGGGTGTTAATTATATAAATACAATAATGTCTATCATGTTAATTGTCTTATCCTTGTGTAAATAATCAATCAGTAATTAATAAAATTATATTTCTTTAAATGACAACATAATCATTCCCATTGCTAGAACTCAAAGTGTGCATATATGTACCTGAGTACAACTCTATTAATTTATATACTGTACAAATATTTAAACTAAATCAAAATAAGAAGGGATTGTTCACCCAAAAATGAATATTCTGTCATCATTTAATCCCCCTCAAATTGTTCTAAACAGGTATGAGTTTCTTTCTTCTGTTGGACACTAAAGAAGATATTTTTAAAAATGTTGGTAACCAGACAGTTGACGATAGCCATTGACTGCCATAGTAGAAAACCCCCCCAAAAAACTATGGCATTAAATGGCTACTGTCAACTGTCTGGTTACCAACATTCTTTAAAATAACTTCTTTTGTGTTCAACAGAAGAATGAAACTCGTACAGGTTTTGAACAACATGGGTGAGTAAATGATGACAGAATGTTCATTTTTGGGTGAACTATCCCTTTAATGACTTATCAATTTTTAAAATCCTTTAATTAATTGAGTGACAGTGCTGTAGGAAGAAAACATTAACATCAAATGTGCAGTTAAAATGATCTACTAAGTCATTCCCTTCACTCCTAAGTATTTATAAATAATATATTTCATTCACCTTTACTCTCTGAAAGAAAAATCTGTGTAGCAAATAAACCAACACTAGGTGTCAGACTAGTTCAACCCCATGCACACGTTGCTTGCTATCTTGAACCCTGGCATTAGATGACTAAAGCAGTTCAGCTGTGTGTGGAATTCACTTCTATAACTGCTGTATGCCAGATATCGTTACATTTTTAATAAAAGCCTTAGAATACAAATTTGCACAAAAGCAAATTACTCTGTGTAATATTGCTTCAAAACTTCTAACATTGCTTCAAAAATACTTTAAGGCCGAAATGATGTTTTTAGAACATGTGAATTATATTACGACTAAATCATTTTCTATTTAATAAATATTTATAGTATTTATATAGCAAAAATCTACACTTTTCCTCCTATATACCCCACAGGAAAAGCACCCTTGAGCAAGCGGGTGGAATATAAGCCGTATTTGATCTTAATATGACAAGTTTGTCATTCATGATACCACCTATTTTCTATTAATTTTGGATTGACAAAGTTATTAAACAAGAAAAATGTACCTGCTTTTGTCTCAGGCCGTGAAACCTCGCAAGAAATTACTTTCGATTACATGTCAGTCATGTAAACATGTTTATTGTCTTTTGTTGTTCCTACATCCTACAGAAAATACACCCAAGAGCAAGGAATGAGGGGGCATCTGAAGAGCACAGTTCTGTTCAAAAGTTTGCTGTCGGTAAGATCTTTTTATCTTATAATTATTAATAAGATATTTTTAAATTAAGTTTCTTATGCTCACCAAAGCTGCATTTATTTGATCAAAAATACAGTAATGATTTAATGTTGTGAATTATTATTAACTGTTTTCTATTTTAATATATTTAAAAATGTCATTTATTCCTGTGATGATGGCAAATCTGAATTTTCAGCATCATTACTTCAGTCTTCAGTGTCACATGATCCTTCAGAAATAATTCTAATATGCTGATTTGGTGCTCAAGAAACATTTCTTATTATTATCAATGTTGAAAACTATTGTGATGCTTAATAGTTTTGTGGAAACTGATCATTTTTTTTCATGCATACCACAACGATTTGAAAATCTTCCTGTTTTACATGTTAAGTTATGTCATTTTTGCAATTTTATGCATATATTTGCAGTTCTGTACTATGAAGAGGAAAAGGCTTGAATAAAGACAGGACATGGAAGGTGCAGAACACAAGTGAGTTATTTACACATTTATTTGATATCCTGCATATGCTAGTAGACTTAACATAGACAATGCGGTTTATTTTACAGAAATGTTGACATACATGTACCATGACAAAGTGTTCTGTGATCACATAATTGTACAGACTACTACATGCATTCAAAGATGCTGATATGTGCAGAAACAGTCTGCAGTGTAAAGGTGTCTACGGACATTGAGATACAAGAAAACATTTAAACAAACAAAAAACAGAAAAGAGGCAGTGAGAGGAAGAAATACAATGTAGCAATTATGTATGGGAGAACAGGCTATGACACATGGATGACACATTCATATTTAACCTCGCTTTCAAACAAACAAACAAAAAATAAACGAAAACACTCGCTTGCCAAGACAATATATCACACATGATCATGTAATGAGAAACATGCTTGTTCACAGTCCATCAGCTGTTAGAGTTCATTTTACCCTTTACACATGAGCAAAGTCACACAGACACAAATCCCTTTGCATCTACTGCTCCCATAAAGGCTCATGGGAGATGCTTCTATAGTCATATGATGACATGCTACAGGTAAAAAAGCAGGTGATTGCCTGGTGTTTGAGTTATGAAGAAAACAAAAGTTTAACAGTACTGACTTTGAGCCCCACTCATTTGGGATAAATGTCTCACAAGATAAATGTTCAAATGATCAAGGCTCTGAAATTGAATTTCTGAGCATATGCAAGCTTATATGCTATGCTTGTGTTTATGGTATCCAATATCTTTAAAGGGATAGTTCATCCAAAAAAGAAAAGAAAAAGGAAAGTGTCTTCATTTACTCATTCTCATGTTTTCTCGCTCTCTGTGGAACACAAGAGAAGATATTTTGAAGAATGTTTCAACTGTTTTTGTCTATATAATGAAGGTCCAAAACAACACTGAACCCAATTTACTTTCATTGTTAGGCCAAAATATCTTCTATGTTCCGCAGATGAAATGAAGTAATACACGTTTGGAAAGACATGGGGGTGAATAAATGACAGAATTTTCTGGGTTTTTTTTTTTTGTTGAACTATTCCTTTTAAACAGTTGTTGATGTGTATACTGTACTGAGGAAATTGTAGAAGATTTAACATGCTGAAAAAATATCTTGCTCTGAAAACAAATTCCATTCATTTATCATAACAGAGGTGCCTACAGGCAGGCACAAAACTGGTAACAAAACTTCATTTATCGTACCCTCGATAATTATCTCCACATAATATTTGGACACTGAATGTCATTGCATTTGATACAAAATATCACACCAAGTAGCATTTGCATGCTGCTCTTCTCAACTTTTCTTGATTTTTCAAAGTGATTGAGTCATTTTTGAGTACATTTTTCCTTCTAGTATACACTGTACGTCAACATTTGACAACCAGAAAGTGTCCCAATTTTGAAACCTAACACGTCTTTTTGTAAAACGTTTTGCTTTAAAAGTGTGCTTGTGCTATATATCTTTAAAATAAATGCCACTTCATTTGATATTTTGTTAAAAATATCATACATTTTGTCCAAATATTTTTGGGGGCCATTGTATATGAGGCATATAAAGCACAGCAGGGAAGCTGACCGTCCTGTGGGAATGCATGAGATGGGCCATTATTCAACAGTCTGTCAAAACCAAAACAGGCATGTGATGACATTCTTTTTAAAAACAACGACAACAAAATAAACAAGCCGATGCTTTCTTTAAATGAGGAAAACGTATAGACATCCACCATATTAGAAGATTAGTGTCGTAGAAAACCTGAGAACTTAATATTACGCATATCTATTACTTAAAGACCTGATTTTTTCCCCCTATAAAAAGTATAATTTTCTGTACAGTGCTATATGAACAAAGCCAACTTATTTGTAGCCTTCTCATAAATGTTTATGAACAGGCACGTGTCATTTAAACCACCATATGGCAGGAAATTGTGGTCGTGCAGAATTTTGGTTTAGAAAAAATAGAACCACTGTCAGCGTTAATTAATAAAACATAAAATACTTTTCATGAGCCCATTAAATAATTTCACAAGTTTGTTTTTCATATTTCAAATGAACCTGTTTGTAGACATTTATAAAAGACCCTCCTGGTCGATTTTGTCAAGAGAATCTTGTTTGAAGAGTATATAACCGGAGTGATTCTGACAGCCACGCAGTGTTTTTGTAAAACGTCAAATCTTTTTTGAGTGGTAACACTGATATTTTAAATATTAAAGATATATCATCTGAAAAATACAATTGAAGTCTCTGCCTGTACACTTACAAATCCATTAGACTGTAAATAAAGTGCCACAATTCTTGGCCTGCATAGATTGCAGTATGCTGTATTGCACTTTCCACTATAGGGTAACCGCGAGAGCCAGCTGAAGTCTTGAGTTCCTCCTCCTGGTCTTTTCACAATCTTCATTCGGCCCATTCAGATTTCTCCAAAAACAATGTACATTTTGAACAATCAGCCAACCGCCATGCCAAAGCAAGTAATATACATATACTTCCAGCAATCTTGAAATAAAGGCAACATAAAATTAATATTTTCTCAGGTGACAGGAATAAAAAAAAAAAAAAAAAAACTTGGCCAGATGATAATACATAGGCCTAACTCAAAAGAGAAATAAATATTCTTCAATACTTAGTCAAACTGGACAAATGTGAGTTTCTGTTAAGAAATGACTCAAAGGTTAGGCATCTGAATGATACAGATGTGGTGAAATATGAATAATAATGAAACAACTCATGTGAAAAATTAACTGTAGTGCCGTTTACACTACTGTACTCTTGTCAAATAGAAAAAAAGAATAACTTTGATGTCTGTGTAAATCAAAACATTGTTTGGGTTTTGGTCCTTTTGATAAACCAAGAGGTTTTTAGTTTTAAAAGGGAAATGTGTGAACAATATTTGTAGGTTTTAATGACCAGAATGACCACAGGTTTTAATGATTTGATCATTGACTAATTGTATTTAAATCAACTGTTTGCTGTGCTATGGTATATTTGAGTATGTAAATATAAGTTAAGACATACATACCTGCTGTAACCATGTGTTTGTATGATGCATGTTTGAACTTAAAAGCAGGTTATTAAGCTTGTTTTTTTTTGAGAAGCGATCGCGATACATAAAAGTCAATAAATAATTTGCATTTTCATCTACTGTATATTATCTGATTGCTATTCTCATTTGGCAACTATATGCAACTTTAATATAAAAAAAAAAAAAAAAAAAGGTGGAGCAATCCATCTGGTCATTAAATCAAGATTTTGATGCTGCTAATTTGAGTACCAAACCAAAAATAATAAAATGAATAAAATAAAATCCCCAAATAAATATGTGATATTATAGACCATTCCTAAATCGTAACACAAAACACATCTGCATTAGGTACACATTGCTTTTCTAAAGAAAGTCATGATATGTTTCAATACGTCGCTACTTTGCAGCTCACTTTTCACAGTCTTTGATGAAAAATTCCCTCTTTAAAACAGAAAAAAGGCTAACAAAAAAACCCTTTTGATATCTACTTTGCCCTCTGTGCATTTTCATTGCTGTAGTCTCTATATTTACCGTGGAGTGCTCTCAGCAAACTAAGCACCGTAAAACAGCTTTGTTAATATGCATGCTCATGTTCTGACTGTCTCTATAAAATGATAAAACAAGTGAAAAGGTAAAATGTACAGGTAGGTCAACGATGTCCTCATTGTTTGGTAAATACATTCTAAACAAGCCTCTAGTTTGCACCCACATTCTCCAGGTCTCATCTGCAAGAACTGCAGTCTCGTTTGCGCTATTGACAATAACACAATTACAAGGGACTTTTCATGCCATGCAAAAATATCTTTCAGACCACATCTGCGTGCCTTTTCTCCCCCAGTGCGCTCCATTCTGTCCAAATGTCAGGCCACAGTCACATACCGGTTTCGCAAGATGGCGAGTGATTGCCATCCCCTGGCATTAGATGGATCTCGGGCGTAAACATGTGGTTCTCCATCTTGTGTTCAGTTTGGTTGGAGTCTGGCTTTTCCTCCTCATTACCACTGACTACACCGACAGTGCAGTTCTGTGCTGCTAGTTTGGGTGAGGAGATGGCTGCGGAAGCCACTTCCATTTGGTTCTGTTCCTCATGGTACTCCTGTTCCTCCAGGTTCCCCAGAAGCAGTGCCGTCTCACCCGGATGGTATCTGCCGGCCAGCATCTTCGGAGAAAGAACCAAGCCTTTTATTGGGATACTACCCAGCGTCTCCGAATCCGAACAGAGAGGAGAGCACTCTCCCTCCGGGGAGTCATCTTCCAGAAGACTGTTGTTGACATCCTGTGGAGAAGAAGTGTTAGGCGGTGTCAGAGGAGCATCCTCTGGCGTTTCAATGAAGTTGACTTTGAGGCCCTTTGTCTTCATTGGATTCGTGCCACGAATGGAGCTTCTGATGTTCTCTACAATCTCGTTGAAGTTCTCACCATCTGGTTGCAGGTCAGTGTCTCGGTTGACAGTCCCAGAGTTCTCCACGGGACTTATTTCAGAGGGGGTCAGCTGGCCGAGTTGAATATTCAGAGGTACTTTCGGTTGCCTTTGCTGAATTTGCTCTGCTGTATTAGAAGGGGTGGATGCCTTCTCACCCTGTCCAAATTCAGCAGTGCAGCTTGCAAAGCTGTCAACGCTCGATATGCTTCTGACCTCCGTGATGGCTCTTTCCTTGGGTTGCCCCTCATTGGCAGTCGGGACTTCCTTCATCTCCAACTCTACCTCATGCTTTGACACGGCCACAGGTTGTGTGCTGTTGGTTGTGCTGAGATCCGAGAAGGACTGTGTCTTTGTCATCTGGTTATACATTTCCTCCAGTTTCTGAACGTTCAGATGCTGTGGACTAGGAGTTCCCGTGACGTATTCCCGTGACCCGTGTTGGCCGCTGTCAGGAAACTTCTTGTCAAAGGATCTGAGGCTGGTATCCGAGGATGTGCGCTGTGGAATATCCCACCGGCTCGGAGAAAGGTGGTTGTCCATTGGCTGTTTATCGTCATTTTTGTCCACGGCAACGTCCATTAACTCCATGCTTCGTGCAAAGGCATCTTTCAGGTTCATTGAGACAATGCTTCCGTTCCTCTTAGCTCGTTCTAAGGCCTCTCTTCTCTTGATGGCTTTCTCCTGTCGTTTCTGCTCCTTGTAGAACTCTGAGAAGTTATTCACAATAATAGGGATGGGTAAGGCAATGACCAGCACTCCAGCAATGCAGCAAAGTCCACCAACTATTTTGCCAAGCAGAGTCTGTGGGTAAATATCTCCATAGCCCACTGTCGTCATGGTGATTGTAGCCCACCAAAACGAAGCTGGGATGCTGGTAAATTTGGTTGCATCCTCATCCTTCTCTGCAAAGAAGACCAAACTTGAGAATATCATGATTCCCATGGCTAAGAACAATATGAGTAAGCCGAGCTCATTGTAGCTGCGCCTGAGGGTGAATCCAAGAGACTGCAGTCCTGTCGAATGTCTCGCCAACTTCAGAATCCTCAATATTCTCATGATGCGGAATATCTGCACCACCCTCCTCACGTTCTGGAACTGCAGCACACTTTTGTTCGACTCGGTCAGAAAAATAGTGACATAGTAGGGTAATATAGCTAACAAGTCAATGACATTTAGTGGCCCTTTGAAGAATTTCCACTTGTTTGGTGATGACAGGAAGCGCAGGAGATACTCCATTGTAAACCATGCGATACACACGGCTTCAACGTGAGCGAGTTGAGGATTGTCATTGGCTTGGCCAAATTCGTCTGTCACTTGGAGTTCGGGCAAGGTGTTCAGGGACAGTGCAACTGTTGAAAGAACGATGAACAGAATGGATATGATGGCCAATATCTGCAAGAGAAAGAAAAAAAGAAGCTTAAGTTATTATGATTTTTTAATTTTTATTTTGTTTGACATTCTTGGATCATTATGCAAAATGTACAATGAATCTTTAGAGCAAAAAATTTTGTGGAGTTGAATATGTTTAGTTAAATTGTGTACTCGCTCATGCAACCGACAGAGGCAAAAACAAACAAACAAAGCCCTTCTCTCTCTCTCTCTCTCTCTCTCTCTCTCTCTCTCTCTCTCTCTCTCTCTCTCTCTCTCTCTCTCTCTCTCTCTCTCTCTCTCTCTCTCTCTCTCTCTCTCTCTCTCTCTCTCTCTCTAAGGGTTCATTTAATTTAAATCCTTAAATAATAACAAATCCATTTTTAGAGGACAATTTATATTTATATTATCTACACTATACTATTTAATTTTCCACTAAAAATTGATTTGTTTTTATTTAAGGATATTTAAATATTGCTGGCACCAAGAATCCAATTAAAGTTTAAAAAATAGTGAAATGATTTGCCTTGAATTCATCCTTTACATCCTCAAAAGCAATCACCAAACTTTCTTTTGCATACCTGTTCTTGTGTGCTTTATGCATTTCAAGCATCAAGACCAATTTCCCTGTTCCTAGAATAGCTCTGAAAAAATTAATAATATAAAAACCATTTTGCTGTGATAAGAGTCAGTCTCCATGCTTGTTCTGTTTGTGTGCCGTAGGTGGGACCGGAAACCATAAAAATAAGGATATAAATAAAACCGGCACAAAAATAGCATCCCATTTTCTTTGATTACCTGTGTTAAAATGGACCTCAATGAATGAGCGAGCTCATGCTATGAATAGCAAACATGGGCATGAATGAAGTGAGACAGCTCTCTGCCCGTAAATGGCTTCAGTAAATGAATGAGTGGGAGGATCAAGCGTGAGAAGACCTTCCTGCCCATATTGACCAACTGCAGGCTGAGCTTTTCCAGTAGGAGCAGGTCGAAGACAACAGCCGTCCCTTCACCCACGTATCTCTCACTATACCCTATCTGCTGAGAGTAGTTCATTCAACATGGACCATTTGTCACCCGTCCTCAAACTTTGTGAAATCATGGCCTTACCATGCTAGTCTAGTAAACAAAAGTATCGCTTTTTGCCTTTTTCAAAGACAGTCTTGGCAATTCTTTGTTCTCTCAATGATTGCTTTTTTTATTCTCCTTTAAAGTCTGGCAATCCAGTGAAAGAGGGATTTGGTCATATGTAACTCGTCACATGGACTCCTGACGCACTGTGATAATGTTCTTTATCTTGTATTCCTTTGTAATCTCCTGCATCTTCAGATGTTTTGCAAGATTGCGATGATACGCAAACAAAATAAACTCAGGGCTCAGCTTCAGAGCAAGTAGCATATTAAAATGATGTAATTTATAATAAAACATCTAGAATTTCTGGCCCCTTTTGCATAATTCTAAATGGCAAATCAGTTATTTAAGTGTCTCATATGTAATTTATCTTCCTTTACAAATATTGATTTCTGGCCAATGTAAAACCACATGCTAATGCTCCATTTCCTGTGGTGAACCATGACTCTATTACACAAGCCAGTGCAGTGAAGAGCTTTGAAACTGCAGAAGACAAGTAACAATGTAGTATGCACAAGTAATAATGACTTGCTCTGGTATTTGGGGGGAAAAAAGACTAATAAATATATTTTTTAATTTTCAGAAGTATAACAAAAAAACATTTAATATACATTATAATAAATAATATTGTTTAAATGTAAATTAAATTAAAAAAAAATGTTACACCTTTTTTGTTGCAGCAGATGAAAGGTGACTATTATTCTGATGGCGGTCGAGAGAAGGTCTCCAGGAGTATTAGGGCTAATTAATCAAATATTCCATGGCAGGCTTAGAACCTTTTATAAATGAGAGCAGGATTGATATTTATTACGAGAGAGTTCTCTCAATCATCTCTAGCGCAGTTCGGGTGATTCTGAAGGCTACATAGCTTTCTTTGACCTTGGCGTGTCAGAGGAGTGAACAATCTCCTTTCTTTTGAAGAATTCTGTCAGGATTACACTGAAATTGTGCCCACCGTGCCACTAATGCAATCAATAGCAAGTTTTCATTAAGGTAATTTTAAACTTGTATGTCTATAATTTTAGTAAAATTATATGAAGATGTCTATGAACATAGTCATTGCTTAAATGTATCTATAAAGACCCATTAAAAAGAGAACATATACAACATGTTCAACATTAAATAACTGACCTTTAATCACTGTACTAAAGCGAAAGCTATTTAAAATATTAAAATCGTTTTTTGGGATGCTAGGTGGTCTGGGTAGTCAAAGTAAATGTGTTAATTAATGCAATATTTTTAAACCCATTTACAGAGTTTCATATTATTGTTTCAGTCTGCTTTCTAAAGTCTGGTCGGAGAATTATGAGATTAGTAATGATTATTTTATTCTATTGACAGCCCTAGGTTGGTTCACTCTCATTCCAAACCTGTAAGAATTTCATTTATCTTTATCTTCGAAACACAAATGACGATATTTGAAATTAATTTTGAGAGATTTCTCTCCCTCTATTGACAGTCCACACAACTACCATTTTGTAGCTTCATAAAGAGATTGTAAAACTAATCCATATGAATTGAGCAGTTTAGTAAAATATTTCTGAAGAGACTCAATCGCTTTATATGATCAACAGGTTGAATTTAGGCTTTTATTCACATATAAACATTGATCAGCAAACATAAACAGATGCCGTGCATGCTGTGCAAGAACAAACCTCATTGGTTCTTATTGAAGCTCAAATGTGCTATGTAACGCGAGAATGAACCTCGTTGGTTCTCGCACGTCAATCAAGCATGCTTGAGCTTCCACTTACCAAATCTGATGTGAATAAAAGCCTAAATCTCTCAATCTGTTCATCCGCATCCAGATTGATCTAAACTATAAATCTGGCGTTGCAAGCCGACACTGAGAACGGGTCCTTCGCGCACTGGGGGCGAGTATACTGGAAGATACCGGCTCTACACGGAGGCTATAGAATCTAGCGAACGTGTTAAGCCTAGTTCACACTACATGATTTTAAGCCCGATTTAAGCCCGATTTGCAAATCGTTGAGCTCGCCGACAGGTCAGGGTGTTATCGCGTGCAAATCGCGGGAGATTAGCGGGCGATGAACGCTCGCCAATCTGTTAGTATGAAAGAGCCAACAACGCATCAAAGATGCTCGCAGACGCCTCGCAGACGCCTCGCAGACGCGTCGCCGAGCCCAGAAAAATATCTAGCATGCTGGATATCCAGAGCTGTCGCGCGACTCAAGCTCACGTGATGTCATGAGCTACAGCCAATCAGAGGAAGGCATGTTCGCGTGTTGTGTTCTTCTTCGCTGGGTATTGGCGCGCGTGCTGTTTCGCATCATTTCCGGTTCGTTTTATCGCGTGATTTTCCGTGACAAAACGTGGTTTGTAGACAAGAGAGAATCGTTGGGTGACAGAGCTGTTGTCAACTCGTGTTGTGCGTTACCCCCTGTTGCGGATCAATCACGTTGTGTCATGTGGTGTGAACTAGCTCAACAACTTGAACACTCCTGATTTCACAGAGAGCAAGTCATGTAGTGTGAACCGCACAGTTCAGCCCGACGTTTTAAAATCATGTAGTGTGAACTAGGCTTTAGGTGTCGCCCAGCCCGCAGCTCTACATATATCTGTCAGCGAGGCGCCTTGAGCCAGCGCCCAGGAGGAAGCAACACCGCATCCAGAAACACACGATCTGAATGACATCTTGAAAAAGAAGCAGGGTCAGATCATGTAAGCTCTTTTAGGAATTTGCTCTCTCTGGTGATGAGGCGCACAGGGAGATGGCCGTGGCTGCACACAGGGCGATAGTGCAAGTCTGTGTGAGCACTCACTCTCTGGAACGCAACAACCAAAACCAACAGGCTGAATAAACAACAATCTTATTGAAGGCGCTCACTCTCTGAGAATTCACGACCCACACCGCGCTTTTGAACAGTAGTGTATAAAATATTTTGTTTTAAAATATTCTGGGAAGGAAGACTGTTCCAAAGTTTTGGTGCTGAATAGGAAAAGGATCTACCGCCAGCAGTCGATTTTGATATTCTAGGTATTATCAACTGGGCGGAATTTTGAGATCGCAATAGACATGAAGTACTATAATGCGTTAAGAGCTCTCTCAAGTACTGGGAGCTAAACCATTGAGGGCTTTGTAAGTAATCAGCAATATTTTAAAATGTATACGATGTTTAATAGGGAGCCAATGCAGTGTTGACAGAACCGGGCTAATATGGTCATACTTCCTGGTTCTGGTAAGAACTCGAGCTGCTGCGTTTTGGACCAGCTGTAGTTTGTTTATTAAGCGTGCAGGGCAACCACCCATAATAGCATTACAATAATCTAGCCTTGATGTCATGAACGCATGAACTAACTGTTCTGCATTTGTCATTGAGAGCATATGACGTAATTTAGATATATTTTTCAGATGGAAAAATGCAGTTTTACAGATACTAGACATGTGACTTTCAAATGAAAGATTGGTATCAAAGAGCACACCCAGGTTCCTAACCGACGACGAAGACTTGACAGAGCAGCCATCAAGTGTTAGACAGTATTCTAGGTTAGTATGTGAGGACGTTTTTTGTCCAATATTTAGAATCTCTGTTTTTTTTCAGAATTAAGTAGTAGGAAATTACTAGTCATTCAGTTTTTTATATCAGCTATGTATTCCGTTAATTTTGTGAATTGGTAAGTTTCGTCAGGTCGGGAAGAAATATAGAGCTGAGTATCATCAGCATAACAGTGAAAACTAATGCCATGCTTCCTAATGATATCTCCTAAGGGTAGCATGTACAGAGTGAACAGCAACGGTCCTAGTACTGAGCCTTGTGGTACGCCTGCTACGCCATACTGAACTTTTGATCGATAAGACATCTCTTCATTTACTGCTACAAACTGATAACAGTCAGATAAGTATGATATAAACCATGCTAATGCAATTCCAC